CACGAACACGCGCACACACGCACACGCGCACACGCGCACACGCACACACGCACACACGCACACACGCACACACCCACACACGCACACACACCCACACGCACACACCCACCCACACACCCACACGCACACACCCACCCACACACCCACACACACACACACACACACACACACACACACACACACACACACACACACACAGAGACACACACACACACACACAGAGGGAGAGACACACACAGTCACACATGGTCACCCACAGAACAACAGACAGGCAAGCAGAGACACGGTCACAGACGCAGAGACACGCACGGCAGCGTGCCCAAGAGCAACTTCGCGAAGAGCGAGAGAGAGGGTGTAGTGTTTGTATGTTGCCCCGCCTCGGCTGCCACACGAGCCGAAAAGCAGGTCAAAAAAAAGGATCCGGCTGCCTCAGGGCCAGCCCACCTTCTTGGAATCAATGTACATATCACCATTTTTATCAACAAGATATACCAAAAAGTTCAGAAGCTCAATTATTTGAAACTACCAGTTATCTCCAATCAACGTACTGTACTTTTTTCGTAAGCGTCCGCCTGTTCTGAGAGTTCTTGTGCGGGCCGCTTTGTCTGGACCGCGCTTATTCCATCAAGTGCACTGCAACACTATTTCTCTCGAAGCGACGTCAAGCTTGTACCATGCGCAGCATATCATTGCGACACGGTCCCAGCAACGTGCTGTTTGCGCTGCCTGGAAATCTCTGCAAAGTTGCGTTCTCAGGCCCTAGCTTACTCCACGGGTCGGAGCAAGAGCATGGTAGCTGCCTCGATTTTGCATGTGGTTATGTGGTTTTTGAAGTGCTCTTGGTCTCATACTCGGTACACAGAACATGAATGAAGAACGTTGTGGTGCAGGCTCTCGACGTGGCGCAAGAGCGCCAGCTGATACGACCTGACCTTCTGATCTGCGTGGTGCATAGCCGTCGTTGGCATCCCCACTCTCTCTCCCTCCCCCCCCTCCCCCCCCACTTCCCCTATATGTGTTAAGCTGCTCTCATCTCGCTGTTAGGTGGTGTCGGGACGGAGGTTTACACGGTTCCCTCCACCTTGCCCGTCCTGGGCTGGTGGGAGGCCGCGCTCCAAGTGGCCCCCCTTTTTAAAGTGCGCTGCAAGGAAGCTCCCTGCCAGGCGCGGGACAGCCTGAACCTGGTTCCTGAATGGAAGCTCGCCAGTCCTGTCTTGCCTGAGAGCATGACCAAACGTGGCCTCATGGTTTTGTGCCGTGCAGCACTTGGAGTCTCTCCTGACACTGAGTCTTTAAGTGGCAGGAGCAAGATGCTCAACGGGTTTAATCGTGCGGAAGTGGAGGTGTCGCTGCTGGACGGCTTGTTGCCAAGCACAGCATGTCACGGACAGCAGCTCGGAAGGAGGTTTTGACTTCGCGGTTCCCAAAGTTCGAGCTGCGAGGCACGCCGGAGGTCGGCACCTTAAGCCATGGGATGCAACCGTCGTATCATGCATTCAAGGTGATAGCGGGTCCTAGCGCATTGCAGCGACTGCGTCGCCCATTGATCTCCAGTGTCTGCTTTGTCTGCTCAATGTCTGCCCAGAACGATCCATACCGCATACCGACCGCCTACCAGATGGCAGGCTCCTCAAGCCTTCTAAGTGCGTCCGAGCTCTCTGCAAGATTCTGACCCCCATCTCAGTGACGAAAGTTTCCTCGGGGAGCTTGATTGCCAGCAGAGCTTGATAGCATTCTAATCAAGAAGACGCTCCGAGGACGAGGCTTTCGATGCCTCAAAGAAGCAGCTCCAGGACGAGCTAGGCTCCAGCTACCAGGCCCACCGTGATCTGTCCGTGTGTGTGTGTGTGTGTGTGTGTGTGTTCGTTGTGTTAAGGCATTTCATGAAGCATGAGGGAGCCATGTTCGACACAAATGCACGCCGTATTGTGCTGCTGCGGCAGTGACGTAGCGTTTTGCTACTAGTGCTGCGGAGGTGATTTCCTCGGGACACGGTGAGTGGAAGCTCATCGACATTTGTTCTGCCGAGGCGCAACACAAGTAGGGTCAGGATGGAGGGTAACATCGTGTTGGACAGGAAGGGCCATAACTCTACGCTACCAGTAGAACAGTAGCAGCTTGGTGGTTGCGGTTACTTGCCATGTCAGGCAGCGTTCCTTTCGCCCTTCCTTGAAGCTCCTCCTTGCCAGGCTGGAAAACTGAAAGCGATGCAGTTTGCCAGTTCGACGCTCAAGTTTGGTGTGGGAGCTCGGAGGGATTCGGCTGTGCCGTGCATGGGTGACTGTTCTTATTTTTTGACACGGCTTGCACAAATGGTGTAGCAATCTATGGAAATGTAGCAACATACAAAACTTAAGTGACATGTGAGGTAGCTGTAAGCATCTGAATCGATGATTTGATTTCAGCAGAAGCTCCACGTAGCACACGGCAGAGCCGCCGCGAGCGGATCGAACTTTTTGAAATATAGGTGTCGAGTGCACAATTATCATAACATGAGTGCGCTAATGGAAGAAAGAAAGATGCAAAAGAGTGAGTCGTTGAGGACCTTTCGTTCGCCCATGAAAGTGTGAGTATTGAGAGAACGGACAGACGAATTCACGGCAATATGAAAGGCCCGTACGCTATTTTCTTCCTATCACCATTTGATCCTAGAACTGGGCCGTTTAGTATCAATATTGTCTTTCCAAAAAAAGCCCAAACAAATGATTGCCTGATACGAGTCGAGCGAGCGAGAGAACAAGCGAGCGTGCGAAGCGAGGGAGTCTTGGGAGGCTGGAACGTAGGAGTCAAGGGGAGCCACGCGAACGACCGAGCAAGACATGCGCAGTCAGATCCCGCGGCTGTGAATTGCATCAGTGAGCATGAGTTCTATACGCTTTCGGGGTTTTTAGGGTTTCCGGCTATGAGCCGTAGATGCCACTGAAAGCAAGTGCATGTGCAGTGTCTATCTGGGTCATACAGCGCCTAGCGGTTGTCTATTCTGACTGGCGTCACTGATGTTGCCGTGCTGCAGCAAGAATGTTTAATGGACTCATTGACATCAAATGCGAGTCGGGTCCTGGTTTCTGCTATGCCCGCTGCGCTGAACTGCACTGTTGGACTTTGACATTTTCAAGCAAACGACTGCTGCAATGCCTGAGATACGTGCGCCATGATTCTTGGCGCGATGCGGCTTGAACAGGGCAGATTTCAGATGTTGACCCGTGTGAAGGAAGAGCCATTTAAGTTTAGCAGTTTGAGCTTGGTGTCTCCAACTGCACGAAAGACGATACACAGATGCATTCCTGTCGGAAGAAGCAAGCGAATAGATGAAGGCCCGCAGGACAACTCGACACAGAATCATGCTGTTAGATATGTCGTTTGAACAACGAGCAGGATTAGCAGCACCCGTCTGGGCGCCCTCGGGTAAAATGTTTTATGGACACTGACAAGCTTTAATTTTAACGCTACGCGACCCGCCTCGGCCCGGCCCAGCGCATCTGCGTGAGCATGGTGATTCCGCAGCGCCCAAGTCGCTGGACCCCAAGCAATAAGGGTTGGGTTTAGGGTTTAGGGTTCCGGTTTATGGTTTGGGGTTTAGGGTTGAGGGTTAGTGAAGGGTTGAGGGCTTGGGGCTCAAGGTTCACGGTTTGGAAAGTTTGGGGTTTAGGGTTTAGGGTTAAATAGGAGGGGGCAGGGGCAGAAGTAGGGGGGCGGGGGGGTGGGTGGGGGGGGGGTTGGGGGGGGGGGAAAACGCGGATGTTTGCATCCGCTCCCTATACCCGGACCCGCAATCCCCCCTGGTCCGGGCACGTCGGCCGCGGCTGGATACAGTTCGACTACGGGGGGTACTCATCCCGGACCAAGAAAAGGGGCCTTCGACCCGAGGCCTCGGCAGATAATTGTCTCACACAATCACCTGCCCCTGTCCGGACCCAATCCTGCAGTCAAGTGTGCAACATGCGCCGAAACAGGAAACTGCCAATTTTCAGCTGTTCCTGTGCCATAATTAGCTTTTCAGCACAGGATTCAGTTTCGGAAGTTTCGGGCCAGTCCAGTGTGCACCAGCGGGGGGAAGGTCTGGGGTCAAGACTCTGCACCTCATACGTGTCAAATGGAAGCCCAGAAAGCGTTCGTGGCCCCACTAAGAAGCGGCAAGCACGCTGGGATGCGGAGACAGTGTGCCCGGCCAGTTCTACGTGCACCTGGGCACTTGGGAGAACGGGAACAGTCCACCTGGCAGGTGGCAACGATGAGCTCATGTTTAGGAATGCTGGTGGACGCGGGGTCTGGACCCGGGCTTTCTAAAGTCTTCACTGAAGAGTATCTAGGTTGTGATAAGTTGTGCATGCCTGACGCAACCGCAGGTAATGGTTGCGAATTCTCTGCCAGAGTTGGTGGAGGCTCGGTCCAGGGACAATCGGATATCAAGAACGTCAGCTCCATCTCAGAGTGCCAGGCCATGACCGCATCCGCAGACCCACCCACGAAAGAGCTGCAAAAAGGAGCTGAGTCACCTGGCAGCAACCTACAGCAAAGAACTCTTGTACAGGCCTCTTAAGCGCTTTTCAGTTTCTCTTCGGGCTGCCAGGTTTAAGACCTGCCACGGGAGCACCATGCTTTTTGCTGGTAGAGAGGCTTGGCAACCCTGTCACACCGAGTCACACCGACATGGCTGTGTGCTGGCCGTGTGCAGGTCGCTGGCGGGATCGTTGAAGCTCTCCAACACTTCTTTCCATGATGCTGCTGCGCACTTGCGCAGAGCAGAGTCAGATGTGATGTGAGGGTCCGACTCAAGCTTGAGACCCAGATAGGTTACATAGCTAAATAAGATATTTCGCGGGGACATCGTGACATCGCGCCTGTGCAGTCACTCAAAAAAAGTGGAGACTGAATAGCCCTTAGATTTCTGGTGCCGTCACCTTTGCGAGAGAAGCGCCCTTCTTCAGCAGGTGCCACAGAAAGCGGGAGCCCCAGAGTCTGATCCAAGCAGTCCGAGCTTCTTGAACATGTTGAATCTTGTGCCTTTCATCTTAGCAGCTCTTTTTTTCTGCAGTTTGGCATGCAGGCATGGCAGCCAGCCGGTCCGTGCCCCGTGAGTGGAGGTGCAGGTGTCGACTGAAACGAGTCTCGACACCTCAGGAAGAAGGGGCGAAGAGGAAATGGGTCAGGCACCGCCTCTAAGTCCCCTTCCCCACCCCCCCACCCGGAGTGTCAGGATCACCGTAGGCACAATGTTGCCCCTGGATTTCTGCAGGTGGCAAAGGTGGCTTCAAGGCTCGACCTGGGTTCAGCAAAAGCTCAGGGGTTGAACTTGGTGCTGAATTGGGCCAAGTTTTTGCTTGAGTTGACTGTATTCTCGCGGTGCCTGCCCTGCGTCGCACAGGGTGGATCAGTTGGCTGAGCGCTGAGTGCTCATCTGCTACTCACTGCTCTTGATTTGCACTTGTCACCATTTGCCAATTCATTACTCTTCCAGCCTGTCCAGACACGGGCAGAGGGTAGAGCAGTCCTTGACGGCTGAGATTTCAAAGGAGCCTTGTAAAACAGCATCACAGCCTACTTGAACCTGGTAAATGCCTCCTAGAGGACTTTGTAACCAAGCGCGTCGGTCAGGCTCACAGTGGCTCAGATGGCGTTGAGGTCTCCTTACATCTCTTTACACTTTGAACAAGTGGGATGCTGCTGAGCCACCGAAGCCTTGCCTTCAACCTGCTACAGGAGCAGTTGAGGTACATTAGATATCCAATAGAGCTGTGACGCGGGCCACGCTGCTGTGCTTTCGCAGACTTTCGCACGCAGAGTACAGGGCAGTGACATAAGGGTCCATGGCACGGTGCTTGTCTTCACAAACGCTGAGCCTGGCCATCTGCACACACGCGGGCACGATGCCGCGTCACAGCGCCACACATCAGGGGGGTACCTGTGCATGTCACCATTTTGACTCTTGACCCTAAAGCGGCACTTCGAGTTTGAGAAGCTTGACATGCACTGGCGCCGCTCCGTACGTAGGCACGCCATGTTTCAACGAACTGTAGGAAACATGGCACTTCTGGTCTATTTGACACTGTGGCTTGCAAGGTGTGTGCTTGAGAGGATACTCAAGGAGCTTGCTGTAACACCCATAGACTCTGTACACGCGGACCCATGATCCCACCTTTGCGTAGCAACTCATCTTCTTGTGGAATGCAAGTGGCATGCGGGAAGCGTTCTTCGGCGTCAGCTGGACGCCTGGAAGCCCACCTTGCAACCGCGCGGGTCTCCAAACCGGACCTGCTGCAGAGTACCCATTCCATGGTTCAATTCTTAGAGGTTTGCAGGAGTGTGCTCGGCAACGCACACTGCAAGTCTGAAGTCCTGACTTGTTGCAAACCTCAGAGTGCACGCCGGGCAGGCGGTTTGAGATACGTCAGTGACGCCAAAGTCTGCATGCATAGGATACAACCCTGAATAGTACCCTTCGATGTGTCTCAGCTCTCGCATCCGGTGAGCGAAAGCATTTGCGGCCTGCGGCCGGCAGCTTTCGCAGTCGCCAAGTTTCGGCACGGTCTGTGCAGGTCTCTGGCTGAGAAGCCTCTAGGGCTTTTGGCAGAGCCCTGGGTTCAGGTCGGGGCCTCGGGGATCTTTCGAGAAAACCTGAGATCAGCTTGTGGACTTGTGGACTTGCGGGCATCATGTCTTGACTCCAAGGCTTGCCTGGATTGAGCCATGAGAAGAGGGGCTCCACAAATTTTTGTCCCAGAGTCGCGCCGCCTGGATGCAAATCAATCTGCGATTTCAACTCCTGGAGCGCGGCTCGCTCAGCCACGAGCCATCACGGGCCTCCCAACCAAGCCGCCGAGTCGCGCTGACTCCACTAGCTGTCCGTAGCAAAAAGAACTGCTGTGGCCCAAGCAAGGCTGTCTTCAGTTGTGCTCTGTGCTCTGCATCCTGCCTGAGAAGAGGTACCCTTGGGACTCCTCGGCGCTAGGCGATGCTTGCTTGCTTCGGCACTGGGCCCAAAGCAGGCAAACAGATCATGGAATACTGAGAATACTGAAGATCAGTGCCTGTTGCCACACGGAGCTCAGCAAGGCACTCAGTGCTCAACCTCCCCGGCATGCTAGATAAGTTGAACTATCGCTGAGTGTGGGCCACTACACACCGCAGCCCCTCCCCTTCAGAACCAGAACGTGCCAGAACTCTGTAGGCTAAAAGCAACCGCGGTCTCGCGGCCTCCTGGCCTAGTGGCCACTACCGAACAAGCTCATGGGTGCGACGGGTGCGCGACGTCATTTTCCTGCCATCCTTCCAAGCCTTGGAATCACCGGAGTGCTTGCAGCTGTGTACGCTTGGCGGCGGTACCAACGGTGCAAGGCAGTAGCATCGGAGCTTGCCGTGAAGGCAGATTGTCAGACGGAGCACAATCTTGCGATCGTGGAGCCCTTTAGATCCCTAGATCTTCGTTGGTGTCTCTTGGATGTCCTGGCCCTGATCTTGAAGGATCTCGGGTTGGAAACGGCTTGCCGCTGCCGGCTTCTTTGCAAAGGCGCGCGAGAAGCCATTGGCCCAAAAGGAATGCGCCTTGCCGTCGAGGATGCAGACTGGTTGACAGCACAGTTGCAGGCTAGTGGGGTTGCGGTTAGCTTAGCTGCACTTGCTGCAACTGGCTCGACCAGATCTGCAGCATCAGAAGTTGCCAGAGCGGTGGCTTACTCTACCTTTGCAAACTCCGTCTTGTCTCTGTGGTCACCCGATGTGATGGGACGTCCACCACTGGTTGCTGCGGCTTGCTGCAGTCGACAGAATGGTTGGGGCAGTTCTTTATTGACAGCAATGCTAGATGCCCGTGCCCAGCCGGAGGCTTCCAGCCCCGATGGTTGGAACGCACTGATGTGGGCGTCTCAGCTTGGCAACGAAGAAGACTGCCAAGTGCTTCTTAAAGCCATGGCGAATCCAAATGCCGTTTCTGCTGATGGCACCTCGCCTCTGCTTTGTGCCGTGCGCGCGGACCGCCAGCCGCTGGTCATCGTCAAGCTCCTCCTCTCCTACCGGGCCGATCCCGCACTTGTTCCGATGCAGAGCCCCTTCGATGAGTACGTCGACATGGACGTTCGTCAAGCTCTTGCAAGCGCACCCCATCGCCGCTAGTGACCGCTAGCGAAGCTGACATGCTGACATCAGCTCAGCTCGAATGGTCTAAAGACACCTGCCTGCACTCCTTTTCCATTCGTTGCCGGCAGGACGTCCTCAACACGAGAGGCTCAGGGCCAAGCCTCCTTCAGCTCAGCGCGGTTTCAAAAAGCAGGCGCTCTTGGCGTTCTTCGCGATGCTTGCATGGTCGCAGCATGTCGCAGCTTCGGTGGCGTGGCAATCTTTGCTCCAGTTAGCGTGCCGAGTGTCCAAATTGCCAAGCGGAAGTCTTTGTGGGCTTCTGCATGGTCCGGTCCCAATACTTCGCAGGAGCGTGAGCCCCTCGGTGTCAGCTTGAGGACGATGCACTTCTGTAGACATTCCCGAGGCAACAACCAAAAAAAAGGGCGCGGCGCAAACTCCGCCGAAGGACCAGGCTGGCATTATGGATAATGAGGATGGCTGTGATCCTCATGCCCTGCCCCTACCCCACGAAAGCTGGAGGCACAGAACACAGTGTGTTAAGCCCATCGGCAGTCCGAAGAGAGCACGTTGAAGAGAATTGGAGTCACAAGGAATGCCTCGGTTCAATCTTGAAGGCAAGTCGATGGGTTCCTGCTCACCCTGCCAAAGGTGTCAGATGCGGAGCTTCAGCGCATCGCAGCAGCCATTGAGGCACGTGGGCTCAAGGTGCTCATTGCAGAAGAAAGGCCAGAAGTTATGATATGCTGATCTGCTCGCCTTGACTCGCCCCGCAGGAAGTTGCGCAGAACTTCCCACCCAACATTCGGAACACGGTGAGGCACGACACATCCGGACACATCCGGACACATCGGGACACATCGGGACGCATGGGGATATCGTGAAGCGTGTGCGCTTTGTAACCGGCGCCTTGTAGCTGGCACGCTGCGGCGGAATTGTGTTTAACCGTGATTTGGCTCGTAATTCGCGGGAGGCAGGCGGCCCCATATCTTGCCAAGGCATGGATCTATTTTCTGTGGCTCAGTAGCATTGAGGATCACCGTGTCATCCAAGTAGGGTCCCAAGTCAGAAGTCAAGTTCGATGTTCAGTTGGATGAGGACGGCTTTGCCATACATCATGAAGGCCATGAAAGAGATTCAGGCGCCACGGAGGCTTGAAGGGGGAGAGGCCCCGAAACACATCTGAATCTGGCGCAGAACCTGCTGGCTATGGTGCCTGAGAAGATGCTTTGGGCCATGCTGAGCCGGCTCCCCACTTGAATCCCCCAATATCCCGACTCCCTTATGACGAAGTCCCTTCGGCTTGAGGCTTCTTGGTGTGCTTCTTTGGTGGCATCTTTCCGGCTACGATCGCAGCTGCAGAGGCCATGGGAAGTTCCCGCATCCAACAACACCCACAAAAAGGGGGGGTTTAGGGTTTAGGGTTTAGGGTTTAGGGCCAGTTTAGGGTTTAGGGTTTAGGGTTTAGGCTTTCGGGTTTAGGGTTTAGGGTTTAGGGCGGAGGGGGGGCGGGGAACTCCTCGGCTGGGACTCGCGAGTTGGGTGGCAGGCACCAGGCCTGAATAATGAATATACGGTTGAGGACGTCATGACTTCCGTATGCGGGGTTGAGGGTTTGACTGGACTTCAGTTAGTTATTTGGGGTTGCAAAAATCGAAATTCCCCATGAAAAAAAAGGCTCCCACGGTGGCCCCTTCGTTTATCTTACGTCCCTAAACCCTAGACCCTAAACCCTAAGCCCTAAACCCTGAACCCTGAACCCTAAACCTAAACCCTAAACCCTAAACCCTAAACCCTAAATCGAGTGGTTCGTCCAGCTATGCGGGTGCCAAAACCCTCAACCCTAAACCCTCAACCCTCAACCCTAAACCGTAAACCCTCAACCCTCAACCCTCAACCCTCAACCCTCAACCCTCAACCCTCAACCCTCAACCCTCAACCCTCAACCCTCAACCCTTAACCCTAAACCCTAAACCTCTCTACCATTATCACCCTAGATGTTAAACACGAATTAGGCAATTTGACCCCCATTGTGCATCACGAATTAGGCAATTTGATCCATTTTGGCCCCTCTGACCCCCCCATTGTTCAGCACGAATTAGGCAATTTGATTCATTTTGGCTCTGACCCCTTTGACCCCCCATTGTTCAGCACGAATTAGGCAAATTTGATCCATTTTGGCCCCTCGGGCCCCTTTGACCCAGCACGATTAGGCAATTTGATCCATTTTGGCCCCTCTGACCCCTTTGACCCCCCATTTGATCCATTTTGGCCTACCCCCCATTGTTCAGCACGAATTAGGCAATTTGATTCATTGTGGCACCCTTGACCCCCCCATTGTTCAGCACCCTGCGGCTCAGCAGAGCCACGAAGCCAGCAGGACTCAGGACTCGGGGTTCCTGGATGTAATAACTTGAGGTCTGTATGATTGTTTAGCCTTTTGGTGCGTCTGAAAAGAGATTAAAAAACTTTTTATTTTCGTAATGTTATTTGATTTCTATTTTCGTAATCTTATGGGATTCTTTGGGCGGGTGAATTCTTTTTCCGTTGCCTACACACACTGCTGGCCTGGTAAATGCTCGAACTTGAGATGCTGAACCCTAAGCCCTAAGCCCCAAGCCCTAAACCCTAAACCCTAAACCCTAAACCCTAAATCCTAAACCCTAAACCCTAAACCCCAAATCCCAAATTCCCTGCGCAGAGAACCGGGCTTTCAGATGCTTTCGGCTCTGATTTCAGGCCTGGGCGGCCTGTGGCGGTGTGGAAGCTGGGCTCCAAGTCGCCCTGTTTCGGGTTTAGGGCAGGGTTTCGGGTTTAGGGCGTCTCGCCGCGCTGCGGCAGTAAGTAACATGTGGAAATGGCCCCCCTACACACCCAGGGGGTGTGGGGGGGGCCGGGCGGCATGTCACGCCAAGGCATCTGTTTTCAAAGCAATGCAACAATTTTCATTGGTGCTGGCTTCTTTCTCCCCACCCGCAGTGACCGCTCACAGGCCACCACCCAAACCATTGCCCTTTAGGGTTTAGGGCTGTCGCCCTCAATTCCCACCCTTGTCTTTCAAGGGTGTGGTGGGGAGGGTCAGCGGCAGAAGGATGAGCCGCCAAGGGGCCACCAGGGCGGTCAAGGGGGGCCAGGCCTTGGGCGGTGCAAATTTGGTGCTCTGCACCAGATTTCAGGATTTTGTTTGGGGTATTCGGGCAACTATCGAAGTAGTCTTGTGGCTGGGTGGCCTAGAGCTGGCCATGAGCGAGGCGAGCCCTAGGGGCTCTTTATTCGACCACTCTCCAATGGCTCCACCCATTGTCCATCTAGTGAGGGTGCCCATCGCTGCGGGATATCTTCTGGGTCCAGGCACCCTGGAAAAGGGTGGGTGCGGCCTAAGCAGGCCGGGTGGGATTTCGGATTTCGGGTTTAGGGTTTAGGGTTTAGGGTTGAGGGTTTAGGGTTTAGGGTAGACTTTAAGCAAAAGCCCAAGTGACAGCGATGGGATGACGGGGTTACTGGCGTGGAGCTCAACTAAGCTCCTTTATCCTTTTGCCCACAAGAACTATTTGCAATGTTCTTTAAAACGTATTTTGGTACGAAAACTCTAGCAGACATCCAGGAGAATCACCCCGCAAACCGTTTCCGAGCCAGTGGCTCTGAGTGGCTTCAGCCCTACACCCTGCGCCCCAAACCCTAAACCCTAAACCCTAAACCCTAAACCCTAAACCCTAAACCCTAAACCCTAAACCCTAAACCCTAAACCCTAAACCCTTAACCCTAAACCCTAAACCCTAAACCCTAAACCCGAAACCCTAAACCCTAAACCCTAAACCCTAAACCCTAAGCCCTAAACCCTAAACCCTAAACCCTAAATTGTAAAGAGTGCTAAGGCCTGGGAGCAGGCCAAGGTTCTCCTGTCCGAGTTCATGAAAGTGGCAGCGGGGCCCCAAGTGTTTCAGAAAGGGGAATGGTTGTTGGTACCAGGGTTTAGGGTTTAGGGTTGCAAGGGTGTAGGGTTTAGGGTGTAGGGTTCAGGGTTTAGGGTTAGGGGTGTCTCGTAAATTTAGGGCTCAGGGACGTTGAGTTGGGACGTTTAGGGACATCCAGGGCCATTTTCTCCCGGACGTTTAGGTACGATTAGGTTTTTGGAGTTAGGGACTTTACATGACTGCTGGTAGGAGTCTTTCCTACAGCTTGGAGGTTTCGGTGGGTTTCCGAGTTGTGCCTCCTCCTTCCTCAGCCGGACCACTAGTCACTGTTTAGATGTTCTTCAGTGGCACCTGAGCAAAAATCCAACCCTTGGCTATTCTTCGGAAGTCCCAGGAAGCCTCCAAGGAGGATGGGAAGGACGACAAGGATGCTAAACAGGAGGTGCAAGCGTCGAAGCCTCGTTTTCTGCATCCGTGGGTCCGGCCCTTATGGTAACCTTGTACGACGTCGTAGTTTTTTTCCAGGCCGCATCAAGTCGTCCAGAAGAAGCTGGCAATTGCCTTGGCAGTTATGGAACCCGACAAAGCGCTGCCGCCCTGGTTTACTGTGACGGGTGTGTGTGAGTGTGTGTGTGTGTTGTTTTGTTTTTTTTTTGTGCGCGTGTGTGAATGTATATGCGCGACGTTAGTCCATGGGCGCAGGGAGTCACTCCCGTTTGATTTTCGGCACGTCTTCGGTCCACCGTTTGGTGGTGCATTTGGCGGGACGGGAGTGCTCTGCAAATCATGGCGGGCATACCGAGGTCTACTGTCTCCCCCTCAGTTGCGAGGGCTGCAATGAGCCCAAACGAATGAAGCACAAGCACAAGCACAAGCACGAGCACGAGCACGAGCACGAGCACGAGCACAAGCACCATCACAAGCACAAGCACACGCACACGCACACGCACAAGCACAAGCACAAGCACAAGCACAGGCACAAGCACAAGCAGCTCGAGAACAAACACCAGCATCGTCAGAAACCAAAACCAGCCGGACCAGCGCCAGCAGCGAAACCAACGCAAGTAGCAACCCACCAGCACTACGAAACAGCTTGAGCACAAACAGTACAAGCGCGGACAAAGCACCAGCAGTTTGGCACCATCAGCTCCAGCAACAGCAGCAGCAGCTTTAGACCTTCCTCACGAATGGATCCAGCACAATAAGTCCATTCGCAAGCAAATGTAGCACAAGCGGCTCGAGCGCCACAGGCCCAAACACAATCAGCTCGGCCAACGAGCTCAGACGCAACGAGTACAAGCACAAGTAGTAGCGAGAGCACGCGCCAGTGCGATCAGCTCCAGCGCCATGAGCTCAAGCGCAAAAAGTATACGAACGAGCAGCTCGAGCACAGCCCAGAGCTCAGTCAGCTCAAGCACAATGAAAACATGACCCACACACACATAAGCAAGACTAGCACAACAAGCACGAACCACAGCAAGTGCATCTAACTCCAGCACAGCTAGAGCAGGCACAACCAACCCCACAAGCATCAGTAGAAGGTGCGTGGCTGCCTGTCAAGTGCGTTGTGTCTTCTTCGGTGGTAGCACAGATGCTTGCGGATATGAAGCTCATCGGGACAGGTGTTGGCCCGGGATGTGGGCATGTTTGCAGTTTCGCGTTTGTCTAGTTGCTTCTCTTGATTTGTATTGTTTGCAGGGGAAGGCAGGGCACAAAAAAGCCAGAAACCCACCCCCCCTTCAAAATTCATTGATTTTAAATTCAAACATCAGCACAAGCCCCGGTGCTGTTGCCAGCAATCAGATGGTGGGTCTTCTTTTTTCCAAGGTTTGATGATTCGAAGCCGTTTGGTTCTCTGTGCTTGAGCGTAAACGGCAATTCATTACACACTCCAGCTCGGAAGCTTCTGAGTATTCCTGAGTGCTGTGGCCTCAAAGCGCGTCTCAGCTGCCAGGTGAGTGGATCCATTGCCGGGCCCTCTCCTATCTTACTATCTTGCTGTTGGCCATCTTCTGGCATGCTTGCTCTGCCCCCCGCGACCCAGTCAAGCATCTACGTCGGGTGGATTGGTGTGATCGGAGTGCTAAGACTTCAATTCGTCTCAACCCCAGAGCTGAGAAGCCGTATCATCAGCACAACCGGGCTCGACTTTCACTCGTGGTTGCGTGTGGCCGAGAGGCGCGCACTGTGACGCTCGGCGAGGCACCTGCCTGTCATCTGCCATGTTACAGCTGCAACAAATAGGACACTCTGCTGCTTCGACCGAGGTTATTGGTTCCAAAGTGTACAAGCCAGTTAGCAAAGTGGAGCCCTTGATAGAGTCCGTGGTCGCCGAGGAGCTTTCTGCTCTGGCTATTTGAGAATCGGGTTAGGGATGTTAGGGTGCGTGGAAGAAATATGGAAGAAACATGGAAGAAACATGGAAGCACATGCGAGCCGTGGCACGTGGACCCAAGGAGTATCAGAAGTGGGTGCCGACAATCACACGCTGGACTTGCAAGCTCCTGGCGATCAGCCTCGCATGGCCTGGCACCCGAGTCTGCAGAGCATGCTGAGGGCTCTCAGTTCCCCTAAACCCTAAACCCTAAACCCTAAACCCTAAACCCTAAACCCTAAACCCTAAACCCTAAACCCTAAACCCTAAACCCTAAACCCTAAACCCTAAACCCTAAACCCTAAACCCTTCCGTAGATTGTACTGACCAATGAGGTGGATCCAGCGAGTCATCTCCGCAGTACACTCGGCCATCCGTGGCGGCATGATCTTTGCAGAGTACCTGGCCCGCCCATGCGTTTTGCCTTGGAAATGGATGCTCAAGGAAGGTTCGCTGTCTTGGTGCAGGTGGATTTCCTGCATGAGAAGGGCTACCTTCAAACAGAGCACAAGGAGACTTACATTGATGAGGCTGGTCGCGGTTTTGGCCATGCGTAGTGACGTGCAGAGAGGAACAGGAACTTGCTGGAAGGCGATCGGTTGGTCGATCGCGGTTTTGGGCTTCCTGACGCAGCTTGCTTTGGGGCAGGGGCCGTAGATTTGCAAGCACCATCCACCACCCCAACGCGGGAGAAAACGCCGATAGAATCCAAAGAGAAGTCCCCTGCGGCTCTTTGAGGGGTTTGCCCTGAGGTTTCAGCTTCCCTTTCTGCTAAACCTGTTCTTGCTGCCTGTCCAGTTTCTGGAAGCCTTTATCGCTGGCCACCCAGGACACTGAAGACATTGTGGCTAGGTGTCCCTGCCAGATGTGTTGCCCTCACCAAGGTGTGGAGCGTCAGTGCGTGAGGGAGACCTGCTGCTTGTACAGGTCACGGACACTTCTTGTTTTCCATCCGTGATTTACAGGGACAGGCAGGCGGCAGAGCTCGTGCAATTACCACGTGTTTCGAAAATCTGCAGGGAGGTGATGTTCTGCTTTCTCAAGCTAGGCGCTGCTGCATGTTGTGCTTCGCTGTCAGAAGCAGGTTTTCGCTTCTTGAACCGTGGAAAACTTTGGAAAACCACAGCACCATCAAACCTGAGACTTCACAGAGCTAGCTAGCACTTTGCGTCGGGGTATTGCTTCAGCCACTCGTTCCACGGCCATGGGGAGTGGCGCTGGAAAGCAAACGAAGTATGAGGCCCCATGGCCGTGAGCTACGTTGGACTCTGTTTGGATGCTTTCGTGTGGTCGTCATGCGTCGTCATATTTTTCATATCTCACTGGCAGATGGCAGGACAAGACCGAATCCAAGACCGTCGTAGTGGAGCCGAAATCGCAGAAAGACAAAGAAAACCCGCCACCAAAGTTTGTGCGGACGCTTTCTCCGATGCCGCCAGAGGCCTTCAGTCTGTGTAAAGGCATCAAGACGTACACCCTGCTGCCTACTGTTAATATGCTGCCCAGCCTATGCTCCTTTGCGCGGACGTCGGGGGCACGAACACTCGTCTCCATTTGTTCCGAGTGCCGGACAGCTCTGAGCCTGCATTTGCCCGGTGGTTTTGCTCAAGAGCGAATGCCTGAGAGGAAACCTACACGGCGATGGTGCCACCAGAGTGCATGGTCTACCACGTTTGCCTCTCAGTGCCATCTTACCGGTACAGTGGCGCACTTGACTGCCGTCCCCTCACGTGCCAACACACGGCAACACTTCAAAAGCGTGAGCTGTAAGCAGTGACCCACACAGCATGAAGATATGCCTCGCGAAAGATCTTATATGAGAATGCGACAGTTAGTTCTTTCCACTAAAGTTCTTACGTAACCCAGGCCGTCCCGCATTGCCAGCACTCAGTTTCGTGCTAGAAGGCACTGATTCCTTAGGCTTCGGGCCCAGAATGGGGTTGAGGTCGCGGAGGGTTCAGCACCCTCAAGCCCTAAAATCCAGCTCAAGGTCTCGCTCGCAGCTAAAGCACATTCGTCCAGAGTTACAAGTATCGGCGCGCCGGCAAAAGAGCCCTCAGGGCTGGACATTTTGCGGTCAAGGTAGCCATTCCAAGGTCGGCGCTCATTTGAGGCATTTGCTGGCCCAGTGTGACGTAAACAAGATTCCCTAGGTAGGACATCCAGGCCCAGTTCCGTGCATGGGTGGAAGTTTGGGATGCAAGTGGCAGCTGGAGGATGCTGGAGGCGAGGCCAGAAGTGGTCTTTGAATGACGGTTGGGAGACGAACAGAGGAACCTTCGCCGCGATGGGTCCGCGAAAGCTCCGCGAAAGTTATCTCCTTTTTTCCGCGAAAAGGTTGTTTCGGGATGAAGGAATTTAGATCAGCGATCGCATGCAACCTCATGTGATCATGGTGATCTGCCTTGTTTTGACCGACGTAATCGCCCAGGCCAAGTACTCCAACGTCCAATACGATTCCTTCACCGAGGCATGCCGAGGGCCTGCAAATGCTGTCCCTGTACGGTCCTGGTACTTGCCTGCGAGACTTGCGATTCACCAGGTTGCACAAGACTTTCTGAAGAAAGCTGCCCTCAGCACAAAAGTCGGGCTTGGAATGCGCGATTCTCACAGCATGTGCGGGGTGGGCATGGGGTCAGCATGGACCCACAAGGCCTGCGCCCTACCTCGGATGCTTCGCTGTGGCCGGTGTCGTTGTGGACAACAAGTGGGAGCCTCGTGAGTTCAGGTGAATTCGCCCAGAAAAGTGGAGCTCCGTGAGTTGAGTGGGCATGTCATGAAATTTAAATGGCTGGCAGGTGCAACCTGGTGAATCTCGGGTGGAGGATGGATGGAAATCACATCGCTGAGGTGCCAAGGGAGTCTGTATATGTCTGTATGGTCACATGATGGCTGCTTGTGAGTTCAATGCTTCCCTTCCCGTCTCAGGAACTTGGGATGAGGGAGGTGTACCTTATGAACGATTTTGAAGCTCAGGGGTATGGCATCCTCACCTTGGACACCAAGACGGAATGTGATGTACTGCAGGAGGGGTCTCTAAGGTGCTAGGCTTGAGAGGGGATGTGGGAGTGGATGCGCAGCCCCGTGAGGATTCACCAGTTGTTCCTGGTGCGCCGATCGCCCTTCTTGGTGCAGGTAGAGCCCATAGTCGTGGTGGATGTGTATGCCGCAAGGGACCTCCTTGAAAGCCTTTGTAACTTTGTTAATTTGCTTCAATTCCAGGAACTGGCCTGGGCGAGGCCTTCATGACCACCGGCGAGAACGGCGACTATGAGGCTCTGCTTTTCGCGCTGCTTTCGCTCCGGTTTTCGCCCTGCCCTTCATATTTGCACCATGAGTGTATACCAAATGCCCTCGAGAATTGCTCTCAGGTTTGGCCCTCCGAGGGTGGCCACAAGGCAAAATGGCCGGAGGCCTGGCCCGGTTGCACGGAACAGTCGCGACCTGGCAGGAGTTCGCACCTCGGCAAGAAGGGAGCACCAATCTTCAGACCGAGATGATGCAGTGACCCACATATTTGGTTGTAACTTCCGAAGCTGTTGCATGCCGTCACATCCTGGGAAGGGCAGGGGCTGGAAAGACGCTGGAAATCGTCGTGTGAGCAGGTATCTGCAGATTCGCTTCAGTGCGAAGTCACGAATTAGTGTGGAGCGCATCGTCAGTGGGAGAGGACGGCCCTATTTTACCTGACACGAGTGGTGTACTGGCTTGGTGTTCTTGCTTGGCGAGAACTAATCTGATGCAAGGCATTGCCAACATCTACCAGTTCATGGCTTGGAAGTTTCCTGACAAGCTCAAGAAGGTTGTTGCGTCTCGCTTTGTATGCAAGGGCGGTTCCATCGCTTCACGTCCTGCAGGAAGTGCACTCGAGGTTCGTAAAGAACGGGCGTGGCCCTCAGTACGAGCCAACAACTTGTGGGGTTTGGCGGCTTCAGCGCTCAGAGGCAAGATCCTGCGGTCATCGTTGAGGCTCCCTGCATCTGTGTCATCCAACGTGCCCTATGTCTTGAGATGCGAGCATGCGAAGACACTAAGAAATACCTCCAAAGAGCTGCACAAAGAGGCAGCCCGCTCGGGAGAGAGCGAGCTGAGCCTGAAGACCATGGACCTCTTCGTCGGGGCCTATGGTGCCGAGGCAAGCTGCAATGCAAGGGCACAAGATACCTCGTCCTTGTCTTCTCATGCTGCGCCAGTGCACCATGCAGAGACTGTCAGTGTGTGTGGAGGCCGGGGTCATGGCCCTCAAGTTCATGCCATTCGGCGGCCTCTACGTCCTACACCTACAACTGCCTGCGCCCCCTCGGTCAGTCTGCCGGCTGCCTGCGCGGAGGTGACCGGCGGCGTTTCAGCCAAGACCCGTGGGAGACTCGTGTTGCTTGCCCTGGGCACTGAGCAAGTTCCCCAAATCTTCTAAAAGTCCTCTCAAGGCGCAGTACTCGAACTTGAAAACACATCACTCGGGCTCAGGTGATTTCATCGTTGGCGAGAAGGGCACCCCGCTACTCGGATTCAGTGGTCTCCAGTTTGGGTTTTCCCTTTTCGCGTTCGGCGAGTTCTTTACTTACAGAGATGTTCCCTCTGGGCAAACAGTCCTTTTTAGGGATTATGATAGGGGGTACTGTAATCGGGGAACATCCCAACTTATAGGATTTTTCGATTTTTAGGGTTCCAGCTTGGGTTCGGCCGGTCCACACTAACAGTCAAATAACGTTGTGGCCTTATAACACACAGGCCAAAAATAGCACCAGGAATCCCAGTCAATTTTAGCATTTACCGGGTGCTTATTTTTGTGGGTCTGCTGGTGGTGACTGTTAGTCACATAGCAGCAGAAATAGCACCAGAAATAGCACAAACAATAGCACAAAAAATAGCACCAGAAATAGCGCCAGGAATAGCACAAAAAGTAGCACCAGAAATAGCACAAACAATAGCACCAGAAATAGCACCAGGAATCCCAGTCAATTTTATCAGCTTAGCATTTACCGGGTGCTGTTTTTTGTGGATCTGCTGATGGTGATTGTTAGTCACATAGCACCGGCAACAGCACCAGAAATAGCACCAGAAATAGCACAAACAATAGCACAAAAAATAGCACCAGAAATAGCACAAACAATAGCACAAAAAATAGCACCAGAAATAGCACAAACAATAGCACAAAAAATAGCACCAGAAATAGCACCAGGAATAGCACAAACAAATGCACCAGAAATAGCACCAGAAATAGCACCAGGAATAGCACCAGGAATAGCAGGAATCTCAGTCAATTTTTTGGCATTTACCGGGTGCTTTTATTTGTGGGTCTGCTGGTGGTGACTGTTAGTGTGGACCGGCCGAACCCAAGTTCCAGCCGTGGGGCTCAGGACTCTGGCACGCTAGCGTGGTTTGGGCTCTTGGCATTTCAAGATTTCATGGGGCAGTGCTTCAGTTCAGGGTTCAAGTGTCTCGCTGAGTCTGAATATCGATGAGCAAAACAGGGAAAACCGTTGTGTCCCCAAACGCTACCAACCCAACATCAAAGGAAACAAGACATTTCAGATTCAATGGCAGGGTTCTTTCTCACTATGCCCCGCCTAAACCGCTGGGGGGGGGTGGGGTGGATTCGGATCCCACAATCTGAGGCATGCCTTCATTGATGCCTTCTTAGACAAAGGCCGCGTCTCCACCATGCTGCGGCTTGGAAGCACACCCTGAACCCTGAACCCCAAAACGGCCGATGTGTACTTCAGTCGCGGACATTGTTCCACTCATCTGAGGAGACTTAGTAGCTGAGTGAGTACACTTTACACTGTTTGGGATACTATAATCCCCTAGACTGAAAGTGCAAACTATTTGGGGGCTCATGAAATCAGCAACTAAGGACTAGAGTTCCTGTCCACGCCTGAGTGTCTCTCTAGCACGGGCCTGTTCGATGTAGAGCGTGTTAGACTTTGGAGATATGCTTGACCTCTGGTAGGCTGGCTGACAGGTACCTGCTACAGAAAGATGAGCGTTCACTGGAAAGTGGCCTCCTGTCGCCATCCAACTTTTTAAGCAACATGAACTGCACCATGAACTGCGCTGTTCAACAAACGGTATTGGTGGCAACAGCATTGCCAGCGCCAGTACCCACAACAGCAGCAGCACCAACAACAACCAGCACGGGAGGGAGGAGGAGGAGCCCGAGGACAAGGCGGGAGGGAGGAGAAGGATTGATGAAGAGGACATAGGAGGGAGGAGGGAATTGATGTTTTTTGAATCCCTGGACCTCCCTCTCCCTGTGCAGCTGGGTGCTGTGACCCTCCCCAAAAGCACGCTCTGCAAACTTTGAGCACTGTCTGAGGTCTTCCTCTGCCGAGGGGAGGACCTGGGCGAGCGTGGTGTGAAGTTGAAGGCACGTCTAGTTCTTGCATTAAACCGCATGCGACCGAAGCTTAATCGTTGATGTCGACGACTTGTTCTACCGTCTCCCCTTGCTGGGAGGAGGGTTTAGGGTTTACGGTTTCGGGTTTAGGGTTTAGGGCGTTTCTGTGGCTTTAGTAGAGATCATCGTGTCGTGGATGCGGGTAACACGTCAGCCTTGCGCGGCACGGGCTTCCCTTGTCAGGCGATGCGCATGTTTGCAGAGGCTTTGCAGCGACGGCAGCAGTCCAAAGGACGGCAGCAGTACACAACCTGACGTGAGGAGCTAGGGTTACATGCACCACAACCCCCCCCCCCCCACAACAGGAGTTTGAAAGGCCCCCCGCCCCCTTTTTTGAGGTATACCAGATTTCTTAGCGGCATCCCCTCAAACGGAGGGATGTGCAGAAGATGTGCGGAATTAGTTTCAGGCAGGTGACGCGCCGACTAAGTCGGAGTGCAGACGGTGCACCAGGCCGAATCTTAGAACCTTGGACGAAGCTGCAGATTGGAGTTTGGCTGCCATCAAACACCTGTGGGAGATGGTATTTCCCCCTGTGCACGTCCATGCTGGCGTCTCACGCCGTGGCACAAGTCTCGTGACGCAGGAAATAGTCGAGAGCCCGGCAGGTTTGTGCTACTCGCAGCTAAAGGGGTTTTCGAAGAGCAGCTCTGTGTAAATTGAAGTTTGCTTGAAGCGCTTCCTCTCACAGCTGTTGGGACCTTTGCCGGCCCGATGTCCCTCTGCGCAAACAACGTGGCCTCACGATTGTCAAGGCCTAAAGCCAAAGCCTGTGTGGTTATGTCGAAGGCTGTGAGAAAGCGATTGGAGAGGTTTGCCGTGTGCTTATTTTGAATTCTTCATGTGCCTTCTTCGTGTCCTGGTGCTGCAGGTTCGGTGCCAGCTGCTTCTCCCTGCAGAAAGGCAAGAGGGCAATATGCCACAGCAGACTGAGTAGACGCTACAGGTGAGATGTCGCATCCTGCATCAGCTTTGAACAGGCGCGGGAAGCCTGGCGCTTCCTCGCCGACATAGCTCAGCGCTACAGTCGCCGCCATCGCTGCAGTTGCGGCTTGATGCGACACGGCGCTGGCTTGACAGCGTCGTGATCGGTAACACGGATGCAACTATCGGGTTCCAGTCCAGAACTAGCATGAAGAGCCTCTTTGTGTGCACATGTGCCTGGGGTAAGGTGAAAAGCTTTGTCCTTTCGCTGCATCCGTGCGGGAGAATCTTGCAAGCAGATTCTTGTAGCCGTGCCTATGCGCTTGTCGTCTAAAGCGAGCATTGAGCCTGGTGCCTGTACTTCATACTCAGCAGTCTGGAGGACAGCAAGCTTCGACTGGTTGCCAGCCTTGCGCAGGATGCAGAGGCTGTCTCAACACGCGGGGGCATGGAATCGACCCTTCGGTTCGTTCTGAATTTAATGTGCTGGGCGGAAAGCCTTAAACATGCAGCGTTCGCAACAGCTTTGCCGAAACAAAGCCACGTTGGTGGGGCAGAGCAGCCAAGATGGACGCGCCATTGTGAGTGCCATGCGAAAGCATGAGCGGTGAGCAGAGTTCACCAGACTAGCTGGCAGCTACCGATCTTGGAGTATATATGTATATATATATGTATATATATATATCATGTATATATGTATACTGTTAAATGGTATCACAGACTTCCAAGAGGGTTGATCAAGTCAATGTCCAGGCCGTGATCGCGGAGGTCTCCTCAGAGGCCACCTTGCTGGTGGGAGAATTTGCTGAAGCCGCTGAAGCCCTGGGATTCGTCGGCTCCTTGGCGGCAGTTTAGGTTTAGGGTTTAGGGTTTAGGGTTCAGGGCTTAGGGCTTAGGGCTTAGGACTTCGGGTTTTTATCCGAACCTGGAATTATGATATAGCAGTCTGAAGATGGTCCTTGAGAGAGTTGAGGTAAGGTGCCCAGCCGGAGACAACTCTACTGGTGCTGGATCCCTCTCTGAGCTGGATGCTCAGATGCTGTCGTCCCGGGTTCAGACATCAGGGTATCAGAAGTCGTAACAATGGTCTTTCGTCCAAGGCCTCAAAGAGTTCAAGTTCGGACGCAACTCAAAAAAGGGAGATGATCCGCAACCAGGGATCTGCCCGGCCTAGGTTGTGCAGCTGAGTGGCAGGAGCCAGTTTGGAGAGCATGCATGCAGGCTGTGTTGATTAGCCAGGTGTACACGTCTGCCTCAAAGGCCTTCCATACCAAACCGCACAAGAACCTTATCCTACCTTCTCATTCAGAGCCACCTACGGGCTTGCTCTTGTCACCTATAGCAGTCTCGAGCCCGAATTGCTGCCCTCAGGTAGACGTTGTCGTCCAGTAGAAGGGATGTTGCACTGTGCTGCTTTTGGTGTGCAGGACCTGGTTCGCTTGCCAGGGTCTCAGAGTAAATCGAGTCAGACCTGCACAGTTTCAGATCAACTCGGACCTGTGTGAGCAAGCCTGCAGGTTCGAAGCAGATGCAGGGAGTTGCCACGACAGTAAGAGCTTAGGTTCAGGTTGAGCTCGTTGAAACGACCCCGGCCGAAACTTCCATCCGACGATCGAGTATGAGCAGAAGGTAGTATTGCAGCATGATTTTGCAGGGCTGGGCCTGGGACACCCACGACTCGTTGGTCGTCGAGGAGGGTTCAGCACGGACAATAGCGGACAATAGCAAGTAGAGTGAAGGTTTTATGGGTAACCGACCTTTGGGGGTTTTCCGAAATTAGGGGTACCTTCTTGGGGTCCTTATTTTCAGGGGATCCGGGATCCGACTATTTGGGGGTCTATATTGGGGGCCCTATTTTTTGGAAGGCCCCATTTGGGTCAAACACGGCACGTTGCGCGTCCACCAAGGTCATGGCGGCTGCAAGCAGAAGCTATCTGCGAGCAAGGCGCGCTTTCTTCGTTTCAGCTGAGGGGGCCCCACTTAGGTCGGGATGGCACAAATCCAAGCCCTTCGCTGCATTGTGAACTCTCATGGCAGGTTTCCAGGACTCATTGCAGCTTGCCGGGCTCCCTGCATGTCTGCCTTGCGTAGCAGCGTAGCACGGAATGCTGCGGCTTTCTTGCAGAACCCGGCTCAGGTTCTCTTCCACCCCATGGCCATGCACAGCATCTACTCGGAGGGTCTACCCGACGCAGCGGATTTCACGATTCGCGCGCCCTTCCCAACCATTCACCTGTTGCGACGCTTGGCTTCATTGACCGTGCCAGCCTAGCTGCCTCCTTGTAGAGAAGATCATAGAGAGGATCTGATAAACATGATTAGAGAGAAAATTTCATGGAAGATCTTTGCACGGCGCCTCTGAAGTTCAGGTGAGGCTGACGTCCTCAAGGCGGTGCATGCCTCGCCACTTCAGTCTTTTTTTTTGCTGCCCACGGCTTCGTCATCCAGTTGGCTGGCTATGATTTTCCTGGCGCTGAGGTGAGCACCTACCCGGACACCAGTGAGATCCCGGTTCGCAACAAGGCGAAATTGCGCGAGCAAGGCTTGGACGTGTGTCGCGAGCGCCTGGAGTCTTGCATGACACAAAACAACGCGGGGCGGGACTCCGTGCTCTGGCGTTTCGGGGGTTGTTTAAGGCCTTTCGGAGTGGCATGGGGGAGTGTACAAAGTCTGGCACTGGTCGCGACGGGTCATAGGGTGTGTGGGTGGGACAGGATTCTTGATAATAAGAGTTCGGGTCGAGTCTGGAGGTTTTTTTCTTACAATACTTCTCGACCGAAACGACCGACGCTCTACATGCCTGGCCGATGCGTGACAGCTTTGCTTCGTTTTCCAGATACCTGCACCAGAGTGCCATGGCCTGTGATGAGTCTGCAAGGGGCAGCGCTGATGCTTTCTGGACGTCATTTTACGTGGTCTTGGTCATCTCCTTCGGCACTATCTTGCATCCCGAGCTGAAGGCATTCTACAGGCGCGGCCATGGAGGGATCAAGAACACGGTGTCGGCCATCGACACCATTCTGGCAACAGCCTTCTTGGCGTGCTTGCGCTTGGCTGCGGCTTGGTCAGCCCCTAGGTCAACATCTACGTCCAGCAATGACGGGCACAGCGTTCCGTTTCTAGTGAAGTTGAGATGGGCGGCGCCGCCCGGGATCTTTGTGTTTCTCGTGATTACGCTGTCGACCTGGGCCAACTTCTTGAGCTACAAAGCCTACGCTATGCTGGGCCCCTGCGAGCTGATCTTTGTTTGGATCTTCGCCCGCATCTTGCAAGCAGAGGAGAGGAGGATCCCATTTTGTCGCGACCTTCCCGCGGTGATCTTGACAGCCCTTGGGAGCCTCTTCTTCAGTATCGCAGAAGTGACGGGCGGCGACCGCACCGGTTTTGGTGCCATTGTGGCCTCGTTGCTGTGCCGTGCGTGTCAAGCTCTCATGACCGTTTCCCTGCGGAGCTGCTGCGTAGCCTTGAAGTCTAGTTCCCAGGGCCGCGTAGGTGTCCTCGAGATCACGTCCTTGAAGCTTCTCGTGACCTCCCTGCTGTGCCTGCCATATGCGCTTATCACCGAGGGCTTCGAACCGTGGACGACCCTTGCCAGCCAGGAGTTTTGGATGGACTCCACCTCGGCAGTGCTCTTGCTGGGCAGTATCCTGATCACGATGGGCTTCCAGTGGGCCACCGTTGGCGTGAACGCGGGCTTACGGTCGCCACTGGTCGCTGTTCTGCTGGGCACGCTGCAGCCGCTGACGGCCGTCATCCTGGTGTTGGTTTTCAGTGGCTCGAGTTTCTGTCAGGCTCTGGGCCTTAAGCGCCGGGACTCCCCTTTAGAGATCGCAGGGATCTGTTGCTTGGTGGTGGGCCTTTTGCTGGGTGGCCTGGGGGCACTGAGACGGATCCAAACGCGGCCCTCGCATCCCCGAAGCCAGACGCTGGAGTTTCTAGAGCACCGAGGGGGCACATGAGAAAGACGCGATCTTGGCTGCCAGTGACCATGTGGCGGCTGCTGCTGCTGCTGCTGCTGCTGCTGCTGCTGCTGCTGCTGCTGCTGCTGCTGCTGCTGGTATTGGGAGTGCGAGTTTCTGGGAGATTCAAAAACGGAGGACCATGGCTGCCATAGTTGACCCTTGTAGCTCAAGAAGGCTGGCATCTACTGAGATCCGGCACTAATCAAAGATCCTTAAGGTTACAGGTGGTCACGTGGGGTCCTTGAGGCTCCTCCCAGCCACCTTGAACCCTGTGAACACTATGAACCCTCTAGAATTTTGAAGGGCCCGGACCCTACGGCCGCAGCCATGGAAGACGACCTCGCTGCGGCCATGGCCATGTCCCTGGAGCCGGTGCGGAGTAAGAAGCATGTCTTGGGTGCCATGCAGTTTCAGAGTTGTTTCGTTAGCTCCTTGATCTGCAAGTCTAGTGTCCAGGAGCTCAATCGCCGATTGCATGCTTGTAGTTCTCAGGTACTTGCCGAGGGGTCTTCTGTGTTGTCAAGGCCACATCGCCTCGTGTCAAGAACCCTGCAGGCAGCCGGACATCCCGACCCTGGACCTGCGGCGGCAGCTGTTGCGACTCTGCAAGCGAATGCTGCGGTGCTCGCCGAAGCAGGCTCTGTCAGCATACTTTCCACCTTGCTGAACAACTTGGCCTCTCGGTTGCAGTCACAATGGTGCCCGCTTCGGCCCTTGAGCGGCAGGGTGGTCATCGTGTGGTCATGTGGTGGTTCAGTGCTGCCGGAAGCACCACACGAAGTTACGAATGGTTCTAGTAACGAAGACTCTCCAACCAAAAGAAATCCCGCCGAGGTGAAGAACCCGGCTGAGGACCGCCTCTGTTGGGGTTGATTTATTGGGAGGATCTGCCAAGAGGTAAACCCAAGCACTCTGCTCTCATCACTGCTCAGAAAGGAGAAGTTCCGGCGCGTGAAGCTGGCAAACGCAAAGATCAGCAGCCCAGCCTCAAAGGGCCCTCCAAGCACACGGCAATCGCAGCTTGAAGCGAAGGCAAAGCCCTGAGCTGCCCTGGCGCTGAAGACCTCCTACTCGCAGCTGGCTTCACGAAGACGGGGGAGACGTTGGAGGCCTCGGTTCCCAATGTCGGTTGAGTGGTTTCTTAGGGTTTGGGGATGTTTGGGGCTGTTGGTGGGGGTTTGAGTGTGGGGACCAACGTAAGGATACTCCCGAGGGCTTCAAGACCGCATTGGGCCTCTGAAGACAGCTGACCCCCTCCTCCCCAAACACAGAGCGCGCAGATCCCTTGAAGCCAGAGCAGGTTCCTGCGGACAGGCCGGCCGAGCAGGTGAAGGCGCAGTAGAAGCCGAAACGCCCTTTGAGATGGGAGAACAGTGATGTGCAGTGATGCTCCATCAACCCGTCCACGCCTGGCCATTTAAGAGGCTGAGGGGGTTTCAAATCCTGAGAATCCCGCAGTAAATCCAAAAGGAAGGACGTACCCAAGCGAAGGCGTTGCACACGCACACCTGCACACTTGCACACTTGCACTACGCCATGCTTGTACTTACTGGCAGCGCGAACCAGCCCCCCCTGCCCCGGCGCCCGCGATGCAAGCGGTAGCCAGTACGATGGGTTACTGTTGATGGCCTTGGGGACAGTATGCTCTATAGCTATGTTGAACCCCTGTTGAACAACTGGGTTGGGCTGTGATGGGTGCTCTTGTTGCAGGCGCAGGCAGAGCAGGCTATGGAGGCCTTGTCTGCGCTTTGCGGCGACTTCGTCCTGGCAGCACAGTTTCGAGCAGAAGGTGCACGTCACAAATCATCACGAAGCGTCTGTGGAATGCCTTCCCTGTTGCAGATCACAGGTGAAGTGCGATGCGTGGCCGCCCTGCGGGAAGGTGGAGTAGCCTTTGCCGGAATGGCAGCCAAGCAGCAAAGCAGTGGGAGCGCTTCAGTTCGCGGTTCTTGAATCAAGTCAAAGCTTCGACGGTTTCGCAAGCACCTCCAGCCAGGACAATCTCGTCCATCTCTGTCATCCACCGGCGCCTGAGACTCGAGTCCTTTCAGGGCACCAGCGCAGAGCCGGAGTGGATGGGGTGCTTGCACTCTGTGATGGAGACGACTCGGTGGACGTGGTCTCTGCAGGGCGAGATGGCACAATCATCTTCTGGAGAGAAGGGGAAGCAGTTGAATCAATCAAAGGCCTGAAAGTTTGAAAGCACGACTTTGGTACTGAAGTGAGAGAAGTGAGAGTCTGTGAAGCAAGGTTTGCCACAATATTCAGAGGGCTGTTCGATGCTAGGCCATGGTGAGAACATCCAGGGGACCAACGTCCACGTGGTGTCTGCACTGGGCCGGACTTCCGACGGCCGTCTGATCTCTGGTGGCTGGGATAAGACCGTGCGAGTTTGGAAGGGAGACCAGCCACCAGTCATTATGGCTGGTCATGACATTGCCATCAATGCTGTTGCAGGTCGGCAGCTTTGGCTTGTTCGCTGCATAGAAAACCCGGGTCTGGTACATGTGGTGAGCAGTATACAGGCTTGGACAGCGGGGACATCGTGAGTGGAAGCGCGCAGCCTAGTTTCATCCGCAAGCTGGTTGTACAAGTTGTACATAGGTTTCTCACGAATTGGTATGCCGGGTTTTGTGGTCTTGGGGGCTTTGGCCTCTTTTTCTTTGCGAGCTGAGGCGGCGACCAGACCATTGGCGTCTGGCGAGATGGACAGAAGCTGCGAAGCTTGCCAGCGAAGCAGGTCCGAAATCGGTGTGAACATGTGTAAACTGAACACCCACGTGGAATTGCATGGAGCAGGTGGTGCGGGCCCTTTGTGCATGCGGCGGCACACTGGTGGCTGCTGGTGGAAATGATGGCGTGGTTCGCCTGTGGGACACAGCAGCAGGCTGGGCGCAATCAGACGAAACGGAGGGGCAGTCTTTCTGAGCTTCTTGGTCGGCAGGCCAGGCAGTGGCGGAGCGACAAGTGGCCCCGCGCCTTGGTGGAAAGCCTGCTAAAACTTCTCTCCAAAACTAGAGACGTCACAGATGATCATAGATGGGATCGTAGATGGGATCATAGATGGGATCATAGATGAGATGGGATCATAGATGGGATCATAGATGGCTGCAGGGTTGGCATTCCGTGAAGAGGCACAAGCAGGGAGAGCTGCAGGATCTGTTGCCCTCCTGTGCAGTGCTCGTCTGTGCTAGTACTCCAGGTCCTATGTTCTTGCACTGGCACGGCGACAAACAGGAGAAATTGCTGCCGGGACCTCCGACGGCCAAGTGTTCATCCTGGTGCACGAAGGCGCTTCTACAGGAGCTGATTTAAGAGACCAGTGGAGATCTTTTTAGGTGTCCTTGCAGGCTCATCCCTGCGACAGAGCGCGGACTTCCAAGTCTGTGGCGAGGCACGCGCCGGCGCTTGGAAGTTCGTGCACATTTGCGCACTCGGAAGCTCTTTTTGCTCTTTTGCGATTTTTCCATCACCTGTAACGCAATGCCGCAATGCACTCCGGAGATGCTCTGGGTCCGGGGCTTGTGGTAGTCACAGGTCTATGGCCTGAGCTTCCTCCCCAACGGTGACTTGGCGGTGGCCTGCGGCGACTGCAGCTGCACCGTTTGGACTCGGAGCCTGGCCCGCGCTGCTCCGCAGGATCCGAGTGAACAGTGGTGGAACGTTTCCCTATCGCACGTGTGACTTCCTTAAAGCCTTATGGTTCTTTTTTATGCCTTCGGATGTCGACTGCGACAACGAAGAGCGAGCAGTGCGGTGCACCTCTGAGCAATGCCTGAACGTGCAGGCCATACGGGAGGAGTTCGGGGCGCGCGCCGCGGCCCTTGCTGCGACGAGAGCGCCGGCTGTAGGCTTGGAGGGGATTCCGTTGCCTTGCTCTGCCTGTTGCTCTACCTTGCTCTGCCGATCCAAGATGGGAGGCGGCGGCGTGGGCGCTTCGGGCGGTGGGGGCGGTGCGAGCTACGACTTCACGTTTCCGGTTGAGTTCGGCTCACAGAAGTTCTCTTTGTCCTGGAATCGGGGTGAAGACCCCAAGGCGGTCGCAGAGCGATTCATCAGGTGGGCTTCGTGCAAGCTTGAGCAAGCTTGTGCAGGCTTGTGCACGTCCAAAGAGTTTCTTTTGTTGCTGTTCTGAGTTCCGCCTGCAGGGAAAGCCAGCTGGATTCACGCCACACAGGCCGCTGTAGTCACTAAACGGACGGAGAACCTACTCACGTGCCGGCTGTGCCGTCAGCTGGCAAAAACCTTTCATTTGGCAGGTGACGTCGTGGCATTTGTCATGCAGGCCATGCAGCAGCAAGGTGCCCAGCACGGCCAGGGCATGCAGGGCATCCAGGGCGGGGCGAAGGACTTCAACTTCCCTGTTGAGGTCGCCGATGGGCGGCGCCTGACCATCTCTTGGAACCGGGGCGACGATCCTCAGCAAGTGGCCTTGGACTTCGCAAGGCAGCACGGCGGCATCGGCGCAGCCGAGCTGCCGGACATCGCCAACTTCATCCAGCAGGCATCTGGACAACCTGGACCTGTGCCGACCTTCCAGCAAGCCGCACCAGCTCCAACCCCGGTGATGCAGCAGCAGCTTGTGCAGCAGATCACGGCTATGGGCTTCCCGGATGCCATGGCGCGAAGTGCCCTGGAGGCTGCAAACTGGGATATTGAGTCTGCGATTTCCCGCCTGTTGGGGTGAGCAGTGCCCTACAAGGTCGATTCGGTGCAGGCATGTTACCAAACTTCGTGGACGGCCAGTCTCGGACAGGATGCCTTCGCGAGCAGATGCCAGCAGGACGACGCGCGAAACATCCGTGGCTCAGTGGCCACCGTCGCCTCTGATCGTGTGACTGGAGTGTCAGGATGAGTCTTTCAGTCCGAAGAAGAGAGCAAAAAGGGTCTAGGAGCACCCGGTGGCTTGCTTGTGATTCGTGTGGGGCAGTACTGGGCTCGCTAAAGGAACGCAAGCACAGAGCGGACGCAGCACTTTAAACTCGGGCAGAGTCATATCAATGCAGCTGTGACATGTGTTCAGGAAGCTTCCAAGATGTGTCTCCGTGTCCGAGCTTTGTATTTCCAGGAGATTACCACGATGGCAAGCGCGAATTTGTGCCGACTTGTGTTTTTCGCCTGCGTCCTGCATAGATGTACAGGCCACAACACAAATTGACACAACCACAGCTTGAGGAACAAGGACAGCAGCGCCCATTCTCTTCGTTGGATGGCCAGCAATGCTGCGAAAACGACAGTGCGCCTTGATGGCAGACCATATCTGCCATCATGCAAGACAAGCTCAGATACCATCAACGTCATCGATGCAGCCCCATTGGCCTGAAAGGCGCATTGCTCCAGCCTGGCATTGCATCGTTTCTGCGGGGCGACACGTGATGTGGAAATTGCCTGCAGACACGCACAGCATGTTACAAGAAATGGAAAGGCCGGCAAGCGATTTGACTGCACACGTGCTGTGTGGAAGACCAGACAAAGGGAAACACCGAGGAGATGAGGTAGAGGAAGTTCACGGCACGAAAGAAGGGAGACGAGATACATGAGACAAAGCACGGGAGAGGGAGACAGAGGTAATCATGGGAGATGATGCGAGACGGGAAATCCGTACCCGCAACACAAAACACAAAGCCAAGACCCAAGAACCCAGGCCAAAGGCACGGTCATCTAGGAGTTTGCACTCTTGACTCTTGCTGCCAGTATGCATTCAAGTTCTACTTCTTCGGGTGTTCCCATTGCGTCAGAGGCGTTCGAAGTTCAGGTCCCCAGCCTAGGCCTCTGCTCCCGCCTGGGCTCTGAGCTGCGGCAGCTGGCAAAGTATCAGCAACGCAAGGCACCGATGAATGTGTGAAACCTCAGCAACCTCACGGCCTTGGAAACCCTGAGATACCCACGTTTCTACCTTCTCTCCCAACCTATCCCTTCATCCTATAAAGCAACACAACAAATCTCAACACCACATCCGCCACGAACCCGGGGGCCGCCCTGGGCGTCATCCGACGACTTCACCGGCATGGTGAGCCCGGAAGTTGCAGAGAGCACAGGCTTGTGGAAGCTTTGTATAAATATAGTTCCAAAAACACGACGTGTACACATACGTCATGTATGCATGTCTGTATGTATGTATGTATGTATGTATGTACGTATGTATGTACGTATGTATGTGCGTATGTATGTACGTATGTATGCATGTCTTCAGCTAACCTCCATGAATCACTAGCTTCCCCCAGTCAGGCATAATTACGGTATAATCGCTTTGATCGACAACATGTTCAGCGCATGGTTTGCCAAGGACACAGAAACACGCAAACCTTCGCAATCACAAACTCTTGAAGCTTGCAAGAATCAGGACCTGCGAAGGCCATGCTTAGGCACCTAAAGCCCCGATTTTTAGTTTGAGGCGGGATTGAAAGTGGGTGACATGTTACGGCCTGAGAACAGGTACTCTGCGTATGTGTCATCTCCTTTGGCGAGGGCTGGCGGCCATTTTGGCTGCGAGACAGTGCCCCTTCTGCATCAAGAGGCCTGTAGTGTGAGCTCACTGAGAAAGGGAAGTTCCTTATGCGATATCTTATGTACTTGGCATTGCAGGGGCTTGGGGCCTGCAATACCTGAGCATGGCCCTGAGGCCAGTACGATGTTGCCAGGGAAACCGAGGAGGTGAGGGAGGGGGGGGTTCAAGCATTTTTTCAGCTTGCTGAGGTTTTCCTTTGCTGTGAAGCCGCTGACACATGTGGGAAGTTGCAGTCTGAGAGGAAGAGGAGGATCCAGGCACTGTCCAATATCGACCCGGATATTTCGGAGATGAGGTGCGGGACACCTTTAGTTCTCTCGACTGCGAGCTTCAAAGGCCACGGAAGTGTAAGCCAGGCCGACAGAAAGGGGTGCTGCTCGATGCTCAGGGACCTGCTGCGCTTTCCGGGTCTATTTTCTGGCGGGCAACGTGACTCTAGGCTGGACACCGTCGATCTTCAACTTCATGGAGGTCTGCTTCTTAAGGTAGATGGTCCGACTTGTGTCACGCACGTTGATGCTTGCAAGGCTTTCCAACAGCGATGATGGGGAGGCGCATCGGAGCAAGTCTGAGAGCTGAAGGGGACGAGGACGACAGCCACAAGAAGTCTTCCCCGAAGGACAGCCAAAAGCGCGGGCAAGTGGGAGGTCGTTGGAATGGTTCGGTTTTAGTGTACCCCGAAACTTAGAGCATGGCTCGAAACTTCCCACGACTTTGGCCACGGTATGGGAGCCCTTCTGTGCCGTAGTAGCCATTGGTGCCTGAGAGCTGCGTCCACCGCAACGATGGTGAAAGTGTTACACTTGCGGTCTCTGTGCAGCCTATTGCAGCCTGCTTATGTAGAAAAAGAATGAGTTGGCCTGGGGCTTGCCAAGGGCTTGCCGAGGTCGGATGCAACACTGAGCGACCCCGTTGCATTCCGCTGCCATTTTTGTTCAGGGCCTCGACATCTGCGTAAGCTGTTGTTAGCCGGCCCAGCACATGCCACCGCCGTGGCCACCGCGGTCTGACGACGCTGGGGTTGCATGCTCAAGTCATGATCACACGGGACCCCATTTCAATGTGGTAACTCCGAATCTGCTGTCCGTGCTGCGATATGCTCTGAACGCAATGCTCAGGATCAAGTCAGCCACCAGGTCCTGGCAGAGTCGGACAAGGATCCAGGTATGGGCTACGCGCAAGTCGCCGAGGTGTGCGCCGGCTCGTGACTCTACCCTAGGCCCCTTCCATATGACTCTTTTCCCAGGTTCCCATCGCTGAGCCGCTCAAAGCGCCCGTGGTAGTTCCAGCTTCTGCAGCTCCAGCTGCTGCTGCTCCAGCGTCTGCAGCTCTGGCTTCTGCGGAGCCGTTGCGTGCGCCGGTCGTTCATGGCACGAGGCACTATGCATGTTGGATCTGAGCAGAGGTTAAAACGGTTACGGCTACGAGTAGGGTTCAGGGCTTGGAAGAAGAAGGGTTCGGGGACTGCTCTGTGAACAGGTTCGGGCTCCTGCTCGAGAGACTCCCGGCAGCAGGTCGCATACAAGGAGGTGGCAGCAGGTATGGTACACTATGTTATGACTGCTATGGGTGAGAAAATCGAATCGTGCCGGTAAGCATGGGACCTCTCCAGCCAGCTCCTTCCAGTTTTAGAACGCCAGCACTGGATCTCGATCTTGCGCGGCTGGTTTTGTTTGTTAACCGTGTTAGCTTCTTGGGGTTGTGCTATCGTGCTTCAAAACGGTCTAGCGTGTTGGGGGTTTCTTTGATAGAGCGGTTGGCCAAGCACCTGTTGGCTTGGCAAACTCCACCGCTTTTGCGAAAGCAGTGTGGTTTTGCACGTGCGCACCTGTGTTTTCTGTGGCCATGTGAGGTCTGGGTTCGTCTATATGTGTGTGCGCTTGCATGGTGTTCTGCTTCAGTTTGCATGACGACGCAGTGATGCAGTGGCTTCTCGGGGTAGTGCATTAGGCATGGATCCCCAGCATCCCGAAGCACAATGCCTACAAGCATGCCAGTTCCCGCCCAGAATTCCGGGACTGCGAGATCAGAGATGGCGGAGGAAAGATGCAAGACGTCATCCTCGCAAAGTTCTTCGAGGCCCCTTTGCCAGGAGAGACTCCTCCCTTGGTCCTATGCAGCCCTGAGCTCTACACATGGGCATGAGACCTGCTCAGGCCTGCGAGCTCTACAGTGCCTTGTCTCTGAGCATATGTACAAGGTAGTGTCTTCATTCTAGTTGTTGGCGCACGCCTTTTTTCTCCATATCAGTGGTGCGCAATGAGATGTCCTGTCTCTAGATGACCGCGTGCCTCATGGTGGAGTGTAGAATCTGAGGAGACATGCTGTCGAAGCTGGGCCGAGCAGCTAGTGTCGTCGTCGGCGACATCGAACACAACCTCGGCAAATCCAAAGCCCAGGACTAAGATCGTTAGCAAGATGTGTGTTTTGTGTTCCACGTTGAGTTCGGCTTGCCGAGCGAAACCCTCACCAAGAGAGTTGACATCTTGAGTTGCGGGGAGAGTACAAGTCCACCTTCGGTTCGACCTATCAAGCTACGGGTGTTGAAATGCTCAGGCGGTTTACTCGGAAGCTCCAGAAGAGCGAAAGACCTTGTTGGCCTACCTGCAGCTCCCTCAGATGCCTCCCACATTGCCCAAGTTGTGGAGTTTTAAGGAGGCATATGTTAACAAATTCACAAGATGAGGCAGCTGCCGGCTTCTCATGTGGGGATTGAGAAGATCACATGGCTGCTGAGGCCTTTGCGATGTGCTGCAATGTGCACTAGGAGCGAGTTGCCGCCAATCCTGACAAGGGGCGTGGAGTTCTTTCTTACGATGATTAAGCTCATCTTCACGCCGGAGTCCAGCGGAAACCCGGCCGTGGAGGTTCCGGGCATGACGCAGATGAGAAGTCCTCAAATCGAGGCTTCTTCTGCGCGTTGGCAGGCATACCAGCAAACCTTGATGCAGTATCATGGCTGGGTGCGAGCCCTTGTTGAACCCTTTGCCAAGCTGCATGCGTCATGCGTTCTCGTGTGTGTGTGTGTGGGAGTGGGATCGGACCCGAACTGTTTCGCCCTTGATCCGGCTGAGCACTGCTGAGATGCTCCAGCAGACGGTGAAACTTGGCATGCGCGCCATGCCGTCAAAGGATGGCATCGTGCAGTCTGAGGGCCTGGTGCTAGGCCAGGAAACTTCCGAAAAAGAAGGAAAACTCTTGTGGAGAGCATCGGAAGCTGATCCTCACTCCATATTCGCTGTGCGACAGGCGATGTCTCGGCTGAGCAGAGGAAAGCGCTCTGCGAGCGTGACGCGCCGGCGGCTTCCTCTGCTGGCTTGGAAGTGCAGCCTGGCAGAAGCAGAGCAAGTTGGCTACTTCCTAGAATAGGGGACCCTCTCATACACCCTAAAAAGACTACAATCCTTGTCATGGGACCCTCCCCAAGAGGGAACACCCCTATTCGGTTTTGCCTGGGTCGCGTTCACAGTCGCGGCGGGCTGAGGGTGAAGTGGATGATCGAACGGATGAAGATTGAAGGAAAATGGGATGCAAAGAAGGCTTGAGTTGATCTGAAAAAAGAGCGGCTTGAGCCTTTCCTGAACAGCTGGGACTGTCAATGATCTGATTGTGCCATGAGTGGCAGGGTACAGCAAAGTTTGCACTAAGTTAGCATGCCCGAAGTCCAGAGATACATGGCATAAGCTTTGTCGTGTCTTGTGCTGTTCTTGTCAACATTTTAAGTTCCTGTTCCTTGCGGCGGCGAAATTCTCCACGCCACAAGTGTCCATGAGTATCCCGGAACAGCCACCCTATACTCTGTAGCTTCCAAAGACTCCAAGAAAGCATGTGCACTATGGCACTGCTTCTGCCCCTGCATCCAATGCTGCTTGAAGCAGCTGATCGCGCAAATCGCACGCTAATCCCGAAAGCTCCGCAATACAGCCGGTGCTGGAAAGCTCGAGGGCCGCCATGTCATCTGAGCAAAAGTGAAGTGAAGCTGCAGCATCTGCCCGCTCTGAAAGACTCTGAGACATCGGACCTGTCCCCACGTCCAAGCACGTTCTAGGTAGTTACGGGGGACCTGCATTGTGCACCCTTGGATATGACAGCTCGGCAGGATGCAGGATCAATAGGATCAATGCAACTCCAAGACGTGTTGCAATCCTATCGTGTGTTGTTTGCATTTTAACTTGCGATGAAGTGCTGCGGTTGTCTGGAGTGGGCCAGGAGCGTAGTTTCACCGTGTCGCAGGCAAAGTGCAAGGTGCAGAAGGAGGTGTTTACGGGATGCACAACAGTAACAAGCTGAGTTTAAGTGAGTCAGAGCTTGCAGGTGAATGAGAAAGTAACGAAGGAGGAGGAAGGTCAGGTGGCAGGGGAGACGACAAACATGACGATGTACAAGGTGAAGGAGGCGGCTTGGAAGGTGCAGCTCAAGATGTGGTGCCAGCAAGAACACTTTGAAGAGTAGTTGCAACTCAAGATGTGGCGTCAGCAAGATCACTTTTGAAGAGGAGTTGCAACTCAAGATGTGGCGCCAGCAAGAACACTTTTGAAGAGGAGTTGCGACTCAAGATGTGGTGCCAGCAAGAACACTTTGAAGAGAAGTTGCAACTCAAGATTGGTGCCAAAGAGGATGAATGTCTTTTTTTGTGTGTGGTATGGGGGATGGGGGTGATATGAGGTCGGCAAAGATTTGTGATTTCTTCATGAGTTGTGAATTGAATGTAGCATTTTGTCGCCTCAAATCCCAAATTTCCTACATTGGCTATCAACCTTTTTGCGGTATCTTTTTTTGTTTGTCATTTAGTGTTTTTAAGCGGCTTTTTGCCCGCACTTTTAGTATCTTGTCTATTGAATCTCAAGGAACTAGACAAAAGGCCCCATAAAATACGCGAATTTCGTGCGTCTTTTCACTCCTTACAAATTAGCATATTTTATTAGGACTTTGGGGTTCCTTGGAAAGGCTTGTTTAACGCGGTCATTCATGAGGCTAATTCACATGTTCACCCGTCCCCTCTTTGCCCCTATTATTATATTACGGGCGTACATTAAATAAGCTCGCGCATTTAAGGCCCGTATTATAATAATGGGGAAAAGACCCTAGACTTGGAGATGAAGACAGAAGACTCATGCATCTAGTTCCAGCTCCAGCGGTAAGACTCATGAAAAGACGAGTGTTATCCAGACCAGGCGTTAACAGGGTCTCAAGTTACGTTCACATGTTCACGCACTCATTCCATGTTTTCATTCACTTGTTCACACACGGGCTAGTATAAGGGTTTATGATCCGTAAATGTGGATGCCACGTGTGTGCATATATATACATATATGTGCACATACATATGTATGGAATGAGATATTCCGTATCCATATCTATATCTATATCTATATCTATATCTATATCTATATCTATATCTATATCTATATCAATGTCTATGTCTATGTCTATGTCTACATCTATATCTATATCTATATCTATATCTATATCTATATTTATATCTATATCAATATCTATATCTATATCTATATCTATACCTACGCACTATGTCGATGCTCTGCAGTTTTGTGTTTCGCAGATTCTGCCCGAACGTAAGGCTGCTTTTGCAGTGGTAGCCGTGGTGATTCCTGGCTCTTGCAGAAGCCTTTTCATGAGCTCCGCGCAAGACTGAAGGTAGTTATGTAGTATCGGTGGCAAAGCTGTCCTACGAGAACCATCATATACCATCATGGAGGGTTCGAGGCACAGAGCAGGCCATCGCTAACCTTCGTTGAACTGTTGCCATCCTTGCCCCAGCGCGTCAGGGATTCGGGGTTCGGGTGGTTGCTTGGTGTACAAACTTGGGAAGCCTCATGCTACTGCATGGAATGCAGCTTGGGTCTCCAAGCAGTTGAGGCACGGGAACGGCTCACCAGTTCTCTGACCAAGCAAGTAGACAGCTAGACTCGGCGCAGGTTTGCAAACATGCGAATTTGTCACGGGTCTCGGGCTCAAAGCCTCATAGCTGGAGTTTAACCGAAGCCCGCCCAGATGCAGAGAAGACTGCATGTGATTTCCCAGGCTGGCTGGAGAAGCCGTCGAAGTTGATGATACCGAATACCGCAAGCCGCTGGATCTGGTAAGGTCCGACCTGATTGCCCAGGTTCACATTGCAGTCGGGTCATTCAAGCTCCTGCACAGGCAGCATGCCCGCGAGCGCTGGAATCTCCTTCCTGAGGACATAAGCCGTTTGCAGCTTGTCTGTGGCAAAAAGTGAGAAGCGGACGCCATACTCCCAGTGCGAGCCAGAATAGATAGGACCTCATTGTCCTCACCTGCGGCGGAGGGACGTTAAGTGCGTTTCCCAGCGGGCCAGTCATGCAAGTGTGCCTCTTTTCATCATCTTTCCTGTCAGACACTCCTGTCCCTGCGCTGCGTTGCCACCATTGGCTCACCTCATCACTGTCTTCTCTTTTTTGCAGTGGAATGCAGGTGAAAACTCACGCAGCGAGGCCGCTGCTAACTCTTGCTAACTGGCAACTGGTCTCCTGTTGCTTGAATTTGAATTTGTCAGGACGTAAGTGGCGATGTGTTTTTCTTCCTCCAAAAATGTCTGGAATCAGAGGTGCGCCCTTGTAGCTGGTGGACACGACTCGCTTGGAGCATCTTGATACTGCAGAGTCCACATTCGATGTGCTGCAAGGTTGACGTAGTGCCAGCACGGCTTGATCCTGCCGATCCGACTTTGGCAACATTTGGCGGTGGTGAGGACTTGCAATGGCGAAGCTATGGCATGTGAAATAGGTGCTTCTGACCATCATAGCCCAGAGCATGCAGCCCGTTTCAAAGACACTCTGTCAACATTTGTCCTGCTTGCTGGTTTGTCGACGAGTTGGACACCCGGCCTCTCTCATTCTCTCTCACTGAAAACTGCTGCTTGGAGTGAGGCCTTCTCTTCACAGGTTTCTTCGTTGTTTTGCTAGATGACGCGGTTGGCACGCAACCGACTCTTTCTTTCGACCCCTAATTGAAAATCCAGGCAAACCCCCAAGCAACCGAATGCCGCGCTGAGAGGAGCTAGACGAGGTGGTTGGCCAGCGATGTGTAGACGCCAGGGGGCCCTGCTTCTTTGCCATTCATTCTCCAACACGCAGCAGCCGCGTCGCGCCCCGCCGCGAGGTCATTGACCCGGCATTTGAGGCTTTCCGCAGCAACATCGCTGAGGTGCCCTCTCAGAGACTCGAAGCATCTGAAGCTTGGAGTCGAGTAGAGCTTCCGAGCATCGCAGGCGCGAGCTCGAATTGCGGAGTCCAGATCGGCCAGGGCTCCAGCTCTGCTTTTGAGATCTTTGTGAGCCTGAGAGTCTTCAATGGAAACGATTCAGAGCCACCCCCATCTCCCCCCCCAAATCGAGCAAGGTCCTTAACCAGGCCCGGGCCATGTGCCCGTACAGGGCCCGTAGGGACCGTAGAGCCCGCAGAGGCCGTACAGGCCGTAGGAGCCCGTAGGCGCCCACAGAGCCGTACGGCCCGTAAGAGCCCGTATGAGCCCGTAGGGCCCGTAAGGCCCGTAAGGACCCCAGGACCGTAGAGCCCGTAGAGCCCATACGGTCCCATAAAGCCCGTAAAGCCCGTACGGTCCTTAAGGCCCCCAAGGCCCGTAAGGCCCGTAGAGCCCGTAAGGCCCGTAAAGCCCCTAAGCCCGCAGGGCCCGCGCAGGCCCGTACGAACCCGTACGGGCCTGCGCGGCCCCTGGCCTGGCGAGAGACCTTTCTCCCCAAATACACAGAGATGGCCACCATCATCTGCGCTCCATCATCTTTCGGGCTCTTGGAAAGCTGGTTGTTGGCTTCAGGGAGCTGCATCTCGACGAGTCCTAAGTCTTTATGCAAGTCGATGGTGATTGGTCAGTTCCAAGCCGTTGCTGAACCTCTTCTCTGGCGCTAGCCCAGTGTGTTGAAAGGCGTGTAGAACTGGCATAAGCCTAAACTCCGAAAGCCCTCGGAGCCGCCCTAAACGGCCCTCTTGAAACAAGGTTGCAGCATTGGCCCTGCGATGTGAAGAGCGGGTGGCCGTGCAGCGCCTTGCAGCTCGGGCTGCGCACCCAGAGCGACGACAAGGGGGGTGGAGCGGGGTGTGGGGGGCATGGGGTGTGTGGGGCGGTGGGGGTGGGGGGAATTTAGGAGATGTTTAGAGATGTTGAATGGGCTTAGTGACGGCCTAAGCCCGTTTAGGCTGCGTCAAGTCTGAATTCGGTAGGACGTGCCGTGAGGCGAGGGGTCAGCTTCGGACTTGCATGATCTGCAAAGTTCTGTACTGTGGCCCCGTTGTATTGCTGTAGACCCGAATCTGTCTGCGTCTCTGTGTTTGCCTGTGTCTTCTCTCTCTCTCTCTCACATTTTCAAGGCTGTGCTGGACAACCTGACGAGCCATCGCACTGCGCCTGACACTTTGCATTCCCAGAATCAGTGACCGTCGGGCTCGCTTGAACATGTGAGGAGCACCGACCTATCGCTTCACATCAGGTGCAGTCGCTCAATGTCGCTGCTCGCGCAGAAGTCCAGTCGGGTGCAGCCGCAGTTCGGGAGACCATTCGGGGATGGGGGGGTGTTGGGCCATCTCCCTTTTCTTTTTAACGCTCCAACATGCTCCAACAACAGAGCGGACTGATGCCAGGTTCAAACAAGGCTGAATGATAGCTTGGACAAGGCTGGGCACCCGCTTCGCTTCAACTCCCTGTCTTCTACCAAATGTCGAGTCTAGCGAGTCGGCTCGACTGCAAGGTAGAGGTTTCCATGAAAGCTTTGGAATCTGAGCTGGCCTTAGCTGCGGTATCTCGTGAAATGGAGATCGCATGGTGATCTTGACAGACTCCAGCTGCATGACATGCTCCAGCAGTGAGGTTGTCCTCCATGCGGCCCTGCAAACGCAGGGCCGTGCAGCCGTCTGTGATTTCTCGCGTTCGATGAAAGCACCAGCGACCACTGGCTGAGCCAGGCACTACGTTAGCAGACGTGATGCCACGCGAGCGGCGCCCGCGGCTGGTTTCCCGTTGAGCAGCATTCTGCCCGTTCTGCCCGAAGCAGTCCTGAACCAAGCACGGCCAGGATACGACGCTTCACCGAAGGCCTCGAGGCTAAGTGACTGCAAAACCGATGCGTTTCTTTGCAGTTCCTCTTAGTACCCCTGCAGAAGGCAGAAAGGGCGCAGTTGATCCAGAGACTGGGAAAACTCCAGCGTCAGGCTGGAGACCTGGCACGTGACACATCGTGACACGTCCTCGCTCGTTCTCTGACTGTACAGGACAACCAATTGCAGGCCCTGTGCGATCAAATAGCAGAGCGTGTGTGCAGCTCAGCATTCAACGCAGAAAACGCCTGATGGGTGGTAGAGAGCAGCTCAAGGTGGAGCAACTGATTCATGACGATGGTGCTCGTGCCTTACGCCTTACGGATTCAAAGCCACCCTTGCCAGATCACCATCATAATCAGTTTGGTCTGAAAGGTTGGTGTCGAAGCCAAGTCGATACAAGACGAGCAGGCATGCCTTCTTCACTGCATGAAGCCCACTAAGATGCCTCGCCTCGTGCAGGGGCGTGCGCAACGAGAGTTGCTGCCGGAGCTCCGAGCATTGGCACTGGGCCTAGATGATGATCACCAGAATGAACAACTCGCACAATCAGCCAACCAACATCATCAGCACAAAAACCAAGGCCCAAAACAAGGTTCTATTTTCCTGATTCATTCTCGAACCCAGAAATGCGAACATCCTTCAAGGTTCCCTCTGCTGGGGCAGCGCCTTCAAGAGTTCTGGAGGTGCCAGAGTGCGTGGATAGGTTGCAACGCTCCTTTTTTCAAGAGTTTCAAGAGACCACACGCTAGCGTGCACCATGCTAGTAGGGGCAAAGGATAGGGGGCTCCAGCAGAGCACAGCCCGTCAGGCTTCAATGCTTGCCGGAGTTTTCGGCGGGGTTTGTGGTGGAGAGGGGGTCTACAGGGGGTCAGGGAGGAGGGTTCCGAGAGGGTCCCCCAAATAGCAGGATCCTACTAAGTGACCCCAATCTGATGCCCCAAATTGCAGATATCAGGAGGGGTCCAATGGCAAGGGTCCATGGGTCCATTCTGTAGGCATCGGGAGTCTACAGGGTTCCATAGCTGTCCACGAAACCATGTCCATAGGGGGTCCGTAGGTGGTGCATAGGAAGGCTTCAGAAAAGCCATATGCAGAGATGAACGCTTTTGCCCGGAGCAAAATTAGCTTGGAAAATTTGGCCCCTGGTAGGGGGGATGAACACCTCAGGCCTAGGGGCCTCGGCGGTTGTTATGACCAGCCATATGAGAGCATTGATTCCTTCGAACGCAGCTTGAAGTCAGGACGAAAAGCGCTCAGCACTTGTTCTTGATGGCAGAGTGCTTACAGACACTCGGAAACCCAGATCATGCTCTGCATAGCTGCGTACTGTTCTGCCAATCCCGCGCCGCTCCATCGACGGACCGAGGTGTGAAAACTGCTTGCGCCAATGTGCGCTCATCGCTAGACCAGCTACAAAGTTGCTGGGTACGCTCTTGTGGCACAGCAGCTTCTGTGATTCATGTTGAATTCCGAAGAGCTCCGCGCGCAGGATCGTCAACATCAAACTTTTGTACAGAGGCTTCGAGAAGTGGCCTATGTACAATCCAAGGCCAGATCAGTGACTCGTTCTTCCCCGCCACTTCTTGTGATCCCATGGATTGGCCAGGGTCCTGCAAGGGCTTCCCCACAGTTGTCCAAAGAAATCACAAGTGGGTAGGCCTACTCTAGATTGGCCACCGGCAAAGGTCACATGCCAAGTTCTAGCAAAATAATAGGGTGTGGTACTCGCAGCTCTTCTGCGGAACGTGTATAGGCCTGTGTATAGGCCTGTGACTCTGTAAGCCTCACCTCACATCCACCGATCTCCATTGAAGCATCGAGAGCCGCGGAAGGTGCGGTATGTGGAAAGGCAGGCCGCGCTGCTGGAGGAAGAGGTCAACGCACGCTGCCTGGTCTCACATCGTCTTAGTGAATGCAGGGCTCGGCGTAGTTGTAACACTTCAAGGCCGCCCTATGCTTCGTAATCTCCGCTTCAGGCGCAGTCCAACAACTCTCAGCAACTAAACCGTTTGCAGAAAATGCCACGTGCCGCGGGCTTGGCTTCCATGTCCGATGTCCACTGCGCAGTTGAACACCAGCTCTGACCTTTCCCGTACAAGAGGCGTACAACAGCACGCTCCGGGAAGTTGCGCTGAGACGGCAGTTTCGTGCACGCCAGGAAGCCAAGCTGCTTGAGTTCAGTCTTTCATTGAAACTTTCACTTGACCTCCCTATTCTGCTGATGCCACACAAGGCTATCTCGCGCAGGGCGAAAAGGCCCTGACGACGCTGTCAAGGACCGTCGCCCCACGCCAGTTCCTAGTTAAGGCAAGTTTCCGGGTGCTCGGTACCAGGATGGTGGAAGTGGAGAACAGCAGGTGCTCCCGTGCTCCCCACATGAGATGTGAAACCCCGACGCCGGCGCAAGATGTTACCTGAAGCATTTAGAAGATTTAGACTCCGCGCTGACCGCTGACGCATCTGTCAGGCGGCGAACCTTCTTGCAAAGCGCGGAGCTGACATGGAGACATTTGTGCTCCATCGGGCTCAGAAGGCACTTCATGGCTTTAGCAAGTCTGGACTCAGGATACAGCTGCTACCTGCCTACGGATTTCGTGCAGGGGCTAGGCCGGATGTTTTTGTTTTTGATTGTGCGAAGTTCGAAGCACCGGATTTGGGCCTGAGAAATGTCTTGGCTTGGAGACTTGGAGATACAAAGACTGGCCCTGGCCCCGAAGTCGCCCCTGCAAAGAAGCGACCCGAGCAGGAACACTTGCACCGCTTGCAACGGTTGAGGCCGCTGGAGGGAGCGCAAGAGCTCATCACTCAGCCATGCAACTGCTGTGAAAAGCTGTTGCAGCTGCACAGGTACCGGACTTTGACTCCCAGCTGCCAGAGATTGACATGGCGTATGCCGAGGCTCCAGGGGAGAGTGACTCTGCGACATTGAACTGCGCTTCTTCGGGCACAAACAAATAGTTCAGTATCGCAATGCTTGTCAGGATCAGTTAAATTTTCCCAGATTTCAGACCGTCACTTCCTGTTGTCATTGAATGTGTTGAACGTTGAGCGCTGGGCAGTTCTTTGTGAGCCCTGTTTTGGGGTGCCCTTATTGTGGAGGCTCCATGCTATTATGATGTGAACCGGAAAAGTGGACCCCAGTAATAGTGGATTCCCAATGTGCTGTAATGATGGAGCCGCGTGGCGCCATAAAGGGCGATGTGTTGTGCATCTGAGAACCTGGATTGCATCAAGATGCAATGAATCTAAACACTTGTTGCTATCGCACTCTTCTCAACCCGCAAAGGCGTTATTCACCTAGCTATTCAACCCATAGGTTCCGGCCGACGAGCATGGACACCAAACCATTACTACTTGTTTATGCTGATTGGCTTGTTTAGTGGCTTAGTGGTTGGGTGTGGCACGGCATTGCGGAAAGTGTGGCTGATTGGTTTCATGGGTAGATGCGCCTGGATACTGTTTCGAAGCAGTCGCAGGAAATGCAGGGCCCGTGAAGCGGAGGGGGGGGGGGGGGGATGGCAGGCCGCGAGGCGCGTTTACCCCTACAAAAACTTGCTGCCAGGTTGGCTCGTCTGGGCCAGCCTTGGAGGCTTCAGGTGGGAGTTGTCCCCCCAACACCCTTTTAACACATTGTGAGGCAGTGCTACCGCCAGGTCAGCACGCTGCCTCTGTGGCGTCTTCGTCCCCGTCCCTGAGTTGGAGTTCACATGTCTTTGCCATGTGACAAGACCCTGGTGTAAGTTCAATTGCTGTCGAGGTTGTCCGCCAACGCATCAAGCAGTCAGCTGCCCGATGCAGAAGTGGTAGCACCATGTTGCGCGGCTGAATCTCAAATCGAACACCTGGCATCAGGTGCCGTGGCCAACTCTACGTCAGAGCTTCCACGTGCTGAGCCTTCCGAGATTGTGTCCAAAGCGCTGGCCGAAGATCCCCCAGAGGAGAGCGAGGAAACTGCAAACAAGGACCGCCGGACAGTCCGGCGTCCTACCAACAGAAGCCATTGTATACGAATGCTGCTTAGATCCGATCAGCATTCAGCAGAGGAACACCATGGAAAACCCTTACGGGAGGATGACATGACGTCAGGTTTCCTACTGTCCTACTGTAGAGAAGATATTGATAATGTGTTGAAGACTGCTCGTGCCGAGGGGGCATTAGGAAGATTAAGGAACAAGAAAGTGGCAACTGTGCCAGGAAGATGCGCTTGCCAGAATCGCAGAGCTTGAGGCCATGCTCCAGGAGGATGTAGATTGATGTACATGTTGGAGTAAATGAGGAACTGCACTCCAATTCACCTGCTTTGCTGAAGAATTGTCTCCACTTCTGTGTTTGGTCATCGATTATTGCATGCGAGGCTTGCATGTTCGAAGGCTTACAAGACTTAACCACTACTTAACCACAAATTCTCAACGCTAAGCTCATCCGGAGCCACATCTTCGTGGTCTTAACCTCGTTCACCCGCAGGCACGCAACAAGGCTTTAGAAGAGCAGCTCGAGATCTTGCGGCAGGACCTGCGAAGCGCACATGTCCCATGAGGCTCTCCGGAGTGGCTTCAGTTTTAGTTTTGAGAGCGACTTCTGCAGGAGCAAGCTGCAAGAGGAGCCTCTGAAGCAGAGAATTTTCAACAGTAGTTTAGATCCCATGGCGTCCTCTCTGCTTCAACCTCCAGGCCGTGCGGAACTTGACTCAGAGAAACTCAGAGCTTTTTTCATGGAGTTTCTAGGGGGGGGGGTGGGGGTAGTTCGCACTGAAGCGATTGAAGTGAGAGGCGCGGTCAAGACATCCACCCGATTTCAACATTCTTGGCAGGGGATTTGTAGTCAGGGCCGCGCATGTACAGCCGGAACGGAACTGCGCAGCTCGTCTCGAGCAGGCACGTTTGCTTGCACTGATTCATGGGGCCGTGGCATCTGGACTCTTCCAAGATTCCCTGCGCCACGTGTGCAGGGCACCATGATTCTGCGTGGTTTCGGGGTTTTGCGATTCTTGGATATGTTCTGTTTAAGTGCAGTTTTTTTGAAGTGTAGTTTAGTAGAGTGTCGTTCTTCCTAGTCCTAGCTCAGATGCTTCGACCTGGAAGACTCCAGAGGGCCGCGGTCAAGTCCTGGGCTCTGCCTTTTGGGATTCCCAACTGAGTCCATCTTCCCCACCTTGGCCTGGGACAAAAAGAGAGAGCTGGGTGTTTACGAAAATAACGGACCCCTAATATTCCCTTATAAGAAGGACCCCAATAAGGTACCCCTAATTGCGGAAACCCCCAACTATGCAGACTTGTACTGATTGCACTGTACCATGCTGCGGTGTCACCACAGGTGCGTTAAGCATCCTCTGCTGCTCCGGACATCAAGCCCGCAGCCCTGAGATTGATGGGAAAAAGGACAGGAAGTACATGGAAGTAACATATTGTATCCAGGGCATATTGACAACCACCAGAAGTTTGCCACGAAAGTGCAATAAACACACGTGAGCTCGCCGAATACCTGCAATGATGATGCAGGCCACCAGTCGTTTTCAAAATAAGCATTGAGCCGGCTTGTACGGCAGATCCCTGCAGCCATTGCTGTTGAGTATGAGTGCTGCAGAAGATGCTCTTGCCAGGCTTTCCGGAGATTGCGCGGGGCCGGAGAGGGCGGTTTGGAGGTGCAAGTGCAATCGCTATGGAGTCATACAGTCATCCTTAAAGGATTGGGGCGGCGAGCAGCTGACATTTGCGGTGGAAGGCAGATCTCCGCCAGATGTCCGAGACAAGCCAATGCCTCGGAGATCGTTGGTAAGTTGCTTGAAGTCTCAGCCACGGATCGAAGATTGCAGGCTACATGGAGTCACCGCCGAAGGAGTTGCTTGCGAGGGTCATGCAGGCTGGTTTGTTGTACTATTGTGTGTGTGTGTGTGAAACAGATGATGAAGATATAACTTTGTGTGGGATCCATGCAGATCATGCACTCCCTATTGCCCCATGCGGTTCAGGCATCAGAATATGCAGAGGACAGAAAGCGCATCGTTCTCCACATGCAGGTCGTATGCAGTGCCATGAGAACTGCGAGTTCTTGAAGGGAGCGATGAATGCGCAGGCCTGCTTGGCGGACACGCGCTGGCGCGCAATCCTGTCAGGTCGAAGCCGAAGAAAGCACCGCTCACTCGCTGCTAATATGTAAAACTGCATGGAATATCATGGAATAGCTTGATGAGTTGAGGTCTGTCCTTACTATCGGAGCTGCTGCAGCGTGGGTGCCCTCGGCTTTTTGCCCAGCCCCGAGTGCGTTTTCAGTTGCCCCAAACTTCTGCCATGTGTACTCAGTGTACTCGCAGTGACCATGCCATAGACTCAGCCGCTCTTCGGTGCTCTTCTCTTAAGGAGGAGATGGCCCAGGGATTTCATTTTGACCCCTTGCAACGCCAGTGCCCCAGTCTCGAAAGTCTCGATTTTGCTTGGAGAGCTCAGTTGTGAACACCTTCACCTGCAGGACTCAGCCTACTGGAACGTTTCGAGTGCCCCCACCATGCTCCTCCCCAGCTTTTGCAGGCAACCTTTGGGGGGTTGAGCGCGAGGTATGGCGATGACCCGCGCGTACAGAAGCTTGTCCGGCAGAAGGCCTCCCCGCTTGCACAGTTCATTGGGAGTTGCAAACGGCACGTCAGAGACACCCTCCGGCCTCTGAGGAGCTGCTAGCTTTAAGTATGAACTCTCATCCTACTTTCAAGGTTTGGAGTCTCACGAACCGACTCCACGCCTGCAGCTCGCGCACACTCCCATGATCCTTTGCGAGTCAGTGAGGCCTCCACTCTGCGTGAAGCATTGCTTGAGAAGTTGGCCAGCAGCTGGAAGCTCTGATCAGGAGAGTGAGAGCCATGCCAAAAGCCACTAGCAAAGCACCAAAGAACAGAAGGCTTTATGATGCATCTTGCCCATCTTGCCCAGGTTCAGACATGACACCGGTGGAGGATCTGAAGGGATTCTCAAACGCCGACGTCCTTGTCAAGCCCTTGCAGCGGAGGCCCTGGAGCTTGAGCCCAGACTCGTGACAACTCTCTGCGTCTCCTGACCCCGTCCTTTTTTGAAGCGCAGGCCGGGGCCCGTCAACGGCGTCGCGGTCGTGACCTCTGAGTTTCTCAGAGTCCAGAAATTGCCTCAACATCTTTAGCTCTCAGAATCCATTTTTTTGCAAATGAGCTTGCTGCAGGTGATCGGGCACTCGGAAGATACCGACGACGAAGCCAGCGAGGGTGAGACTGGGGCTTAGGCCCCCTTCGGGCCCTCTGAGGGAGGCCGAAGGTGGAGGCTCCACGACAAATGCGCTGCTCAGGCTCTCCTCACCGGGGTTGCACCATGCAGGCTCAACAGTGCCTGGGCTAAGCAGAGCACCGCCTAAGCCCTTAAGACCCTGAAACCCTGAAGTCCAAAATCCTCCTGGATTGCTGCAACTGAGGTGTCGACGGAGTCCTCCGGGGAGTTGCTGGTGCTTGAAGGCCTTTCATTCCGTTGAATGACGTCTGCGATCTGATGCGATGTTAGTATTGAAACTTCACCGATGATCCCCCGACACCGGGGGAGTCTGAAGCCACCATCAATCCGCCTTTCCACTGTTTGCCAGTACACACAGCATCCCTGGGTCATGCTCGCGCGCCGTTCTTGCTTTGGTCAATCCGATCACCTTTCAGGATGGGCCTCAACTGGATGCAGCACGAATAGCCTTCGGAGTCATAGACATAGTCGTAGCAACAGCCGAAGTGTACGAACATGCCCGCGACCAACTGTGATAGCATTCTGGCGATTGGGGGATAGGGGGGTCGTAGCAATAAGAAGACCGGCAGAACGCTGCCTGCCTCGGCCCCCGGCGCGTTGAGAGGATTTCAGGGTTTAGGGCCCTTTAGCCTTGGCAGATGAAGCCTCGAGTCGGTGTCCGGTTGTTGTTTCGCGTCGGTAATGGAGATCGAAGATGGCCGTAGAATCCAGTTGACGAGCCTAGGAGGAGGCAGTTGGCAGCAGGTGGCCTTTGACAAGAGAGAGCTTCGGGCCCTTTTTAGGCATTCATGTTTCACATCATTGTGTGGGGTTTTTGTTTTTAGCTCTGCACTCCGCCCACTCGCCCGCCTCCCGACATGTGGGGTTATCCGGTCCTGTAATGTTTTAGTTTTTGGCATTATGCGCCTACGGAGCTCCCCAAAGATGGCACTTTCTGTTTGACCTTGCCTTGTTGTGTCGAGGTGATGCTGACGTGGCCTCAGCAGTTCATTTGCTTCTGAAGCCCAGATGAGCCCAGAAGCTTGCTCAGGTCACGAAAGCAGGTCCGGGGAACAGCAGTCCAACTGTGGACCTGCTAGACCTTGCGTGAAATGTGTGAAAAAAGAAATGGGGCTGCCGCAAGCTCGTCTTGCTCTCAGAAAGGTGGCAAAAGTTTCCACACGGGCAAGTCTGGGAAAATCAGTACCCCGCAGGAGACACAAGTCCCAGTGTCTTCCTCCCTGTCCTTCCCTGTCCCGGCTCACCTGTACAGCGGAGCCTCAGCGGACAACAAAGGGACAAAGCGGCTGCACAGAACCCGGAGATGCGGTGTGCAGCTTGGTGCAGCTTGCAATTAACTCCACAACGCTTCTTGGGCGAAAGTGAATAAAAGCTGCGGCACACTGCAGATGACTGTGTGGGACTTCCGGCAAGATGGAGAGTTGCGCGGGCCATCCTGGCCCTTGAAAACCTTGGGGTGACTTCAAGGTTCTTGACCCATATGGGCTCCAGGGCAAGCTACAAGCACCATGTAAACAAGCTTCCCTGCTAGCCTTAGCTTGCCTGTCGGACAGCTGCACCACAGCCCCAAGAGTCCTAAGAATCCAAGTCGGGGATTTCCAAGACGGAGTCGACGCCAGCGTTGAATCATTCATGGTCCCATGGACCGCCACGAGTATGAAGAAGCAAGCTTCCCAGACTCTGGGCGAAACTCCGGACAGTCATCACGCTGCACTGGGCATGTGCTGCAAGCAGGTCATTGCCAACCAGCCGGTCGTCATCGTGAGTCTTGGCATGTTGAACCTGACCTGTTCTTGCAGTGTCTGCATCTAATCCGCTGATGCCAGGACAACGGTTCCGGGGTGATCAAGGTGCTAGACCACGAATTTCGATCTTGCTTCGGCCTCTCGACACTTGCTTGAGCTTTTTGCGCGAGGCTGGATTTGCCGGGGATGACTCTGCCCCTCGGCCCCAGTTCTCTATGGCGCTCAACGGTCAGACAGAGGGCGTGGTGCCATGCCCTTGTCACCGCCAGGTCAAGCTGCTCCATCCTTCCTTCGTTGGCAGGCCGCATTCTTTGCTTCATGCCCCGAAGCAGCGAGCAATAGCGAGTATATGGAATACGGTGGCGACGGTGGCGAACACGCGACTGCGACGTGCTGCGAGTGGCCACTGCCAGGCCAAAGCATCAGCGAGTGATGGCTGGCGCTGCTGAAGGTGACAACGGAGACATTTTCGTCGGCGCCACGCCTGAGTGGGTTTAGACCTGTCTAGACTTGTTTAGGCGGTTTTCCCCCGCAGTTTTCAAGGTTGTGACTGTGTAGCTATGGGCTCCTGCAAATTCAGGCGAGCGAGCCGAGAAATTCCGTGGCATTCTGTCTCTGAAATATCCCATGGAGCATGGCATCGTGCTGCTCCAAGATGCAGCTTGTGCAAGCTGTGTCTTGACACTCGTCAGATTTGTTGTTCCTTCGCATAGCCGAAAAGCCGAGGTGCAGCATTGGGATGACATGGAACTGATTTGGCGCCATGTCTACTCTGAGATGAAAGCCTGCGGCTGAGGGCCACATCATTTAGCAGCCCGGCCATTGCACAGCAGCTGCCGTCAGGTCAATGCAGAAGAGCACCCCGTGCTCCTGACCGAGGACAGCTTGACCGGGATGCTCTAAGACTGGTTTGGAGTTGATGAAATTATCGAATCCATGAAACTCATAGCTCGCGGACCAAGGCCCTCATGTGGATCCTCGTGAGCTTCATTAGCTTGCAACAGCTTATATTGCAGGCTCCGCTCAATCCGCGGAAGAACCGTGAGAAAGTCGGCTCCCCATGGCGGTTCTTGCTGGGTCTGGTTCTGTCTGGTTCAGTGGATATTTTTGGAGAGCCACACGTGGGTTTGTGGCCTGCCGAGGCAGCAGAGATTTTTTTTGAGACCTTCGGCTGTCCGGCGCTCTTCGTCTCTGCGCAGGCTTGCTGCAAGCAGTTGCTTAAAAGCATGCCCAAAGTCGTGCTAAGACTCCCAAGCAGCTTCATTGCAGAGGAGCCGTACCTTTAGGGATCCTTGAGCAGATCCGCGATCTTGCTCCGGAGTCAAACTAGAAGCCAGACAGGCTTGAGGCTTGAAACCTTACAGGCTACCGCTCCAAGATTCGAAACCTAACCTCCAGCCCTCAAGGCAGGCTTTGCTTACATGAAAGAGCACGGCAGAAGCCCTGAAGAGACCCCAAAAAGCCGTACGCCCCACCGCAAGCAACCTTGAGCCCCACCAAGCAGTTTTTTTCCCCAGATTTGGGATTCAGGGGGTCACAGACTTGGGGGGGGGGGGATTCGGAGGGGAGGAGGCGGCGAATCAGAACGCCAAATCACTCTCAGAAAAAAGCCTGAAAACACCCGGAGCCATGTCAGGCCATCCTTTCCCTGTATGCAAGCGGGAGGACAACCGGCGCCGGCAACTCGGGAGTAGGGATTGAAGGGTTTGGAGGGGTTTGGGATTCGAGGTTTCTTAGTTTGTTAATGTTCCTTGTGTTTCTTAGCCTGGCCTGGAACTCATCTTTGAGGGTTTTCAGGGTTAGTTCAGGATCGCGGTCGTCCAGATGGTTTAGCTGAAACCTGGCAAGGTGGTCTTGGACTCGGGCGATGGTGTGACGCACGCGGTCCCTGTTTACGAGGGCTTTGCCCTGCCCCATGCAGCCGGGGACCCCAAGCAGGGCAGATCTTCCGGTTATGTGTGTTCATGAGTGACCCGAGAAAACTCTAATTCCAGCAGGTGATGAGATCTGACGTCGCTGGCCGCGACGCGCGAAGCACAGTTCAATCATCAAATGGGCTTTGATGTGTGCATGAATGACAATCGCATGAGCATCCTGCTTTGGAGGTCACTGATCACCTGCTGCTCCAGCTGCGACGCACAGGGCATGTCGCTTCCCTACAGACACGCCAATGCTCTCATGTGGATGTGTCCCGTAGCAGGCTGTGTCGCCCATGTCTCAATCTCGCTCTCGCTCTCTTTCGTTCTCTCCCCTCATCCCTGCTGACTTCGAGTCTTGAAGATCTCAAGCTCGTGCCTTTCTTCAAGCTGAGGTCTTTCACACATCAGCTGAAAGGGAAGTGGTCCGTCAGATCAAAGAAAAGGCTGCGGACCTCCAAGCCCAGAAGCCAAGAGCCATGACCGTCGGTGAGAGGAGTGCTACGTGGCGCTGAATCCACAGAAGGAGGAGCAAGCCACGAGCCGAGCATCCCTAGCAGCCCTAGCCTCGCGTTCCGTGTCTCTGCTTTCTCTGCTTAAGAGCTTCCTCTTTCGTGCTTTCGTGTCAGGGCGAGCACGACAAGGCCTCGATGCAGCATCAGTACAAGCTGCGCGGGCCCCAAGGTGACCCCCCAGTCGTGGGCGGTGTGGGGTTCTGTGGGGGGTTCTGGCGTTTTGCGTTTCAGCTTTGCCAAGGCCGGATGGCTCCGTGATCAACCTCGGTGCAGAGAGGTAGGGTGGCCGTACAAGAGCTTGCTGTAGACGGAACGTAAGCAATAAGCATACCTAGAGCCTAGAGCTATGTTTTTCGCATGGCTCCGGTAGGTAACCGTAGTGGCAGCATAGCTCGTGCATCCTAAAAGCTGAAGGTTCCGAGCACCAGAGATTCTGTTTCATCCCGACTTGATTGGCTTGGAATACCCAGGCTCGGATGCCATGTAATCTGCCACAACAAAAGCCTGTTGGCGTGGGGATGTTTCGCAGAGGGTCCTCAAGACTAAGTAAAAAGAGGTGAAGTTGCAGTTCGCTTGATTCGCATTTCTTTTGGAGGCATTCATGAATTGCTGGCCACCTCCATCAACAGAGCGGACCTCGACTTGCGAATGACGCTATTTTCGCAGGCAACGGGCCCTCTGGGCTCGAAGATGGATCGTTGAGGTATCATTGAACCGAGAATCTTTTTCAGGTACGGGGTTGCTGAGTGGGTCACCTCACAACTGGGTTCGGTCATCTCGAATGCCTTTTGCTGTGCAGATCGTCCTCTCGGGGGGGTCGACCATGTTCGAGAAGTTTGGTGACAGGCGCTTCGTTCACAGAGTTGAGCTGCAAGTCCTTTCGTGCTGAGCCCTCTCGCTTCCGGGCGGTGCCGCAACCCTCAGGCTTCTGAGTGAGGTGAAGAAGCTGGCGCCGAAGGACGAAGCTTTGAGACTGAGCTTTTCCTTGCGCTCGCGCAAAGCTGCTTCCAGGACATCAAGATAAGAATCATTGCGCCGCCTGAGCGAAAGCTCTCAACATGGATAGGCACTGTGGGAATGGACTACAAATCAGCCGCAAGTCCCCCCATAATCGCCCCTAAAAGTATGGATTTACTAAGTTTATTGGGTTACAGACATCGGACATACGGTTTTCAGCCCCACGGTAACAGGGATATGGGGGGCCTTGGAGGGGACCCCTAGAGCCCTAGAAGATTATTGCGACATCAACTTCAGGTGGCTCAATCCTGGCATCCTTAGCAACATTCAAGAAGTCTGGTGCTGAGGGCGCACTGCGTTTCCTGCCGTTTCAAGCCATTGCCTTGTAAGGATGTGGGTTACCAAAGAAGAGTTCGAAGAAGATGGCTACTCCATTCTGTGAGGGCCTCGACTGTCAATGGCATGCTGTACTGCACGCTGCCCGCTCTCCTCGACCGCTGTTTCGTCACAGCCTTGCTCAGGCATAAGAAAGCTTTCTGATTGCAGGTCCGCTGCAGCTGAACAGCTGTGCCTGTGTTGAAAGTTACTTACTGTCGGCCATACTATACGACCATTCTGTTGAGAGACGCTGTTCAGCGAGCAGAGACCCCGCAAGTGCACAAAGTGGCAATTGCTGCAAATGCCCCAGCCTTCGCCTCCGGTGGTGAAAGCAGCACGCGGCGCTTGTGTCACTTGCAAAGTAGCTACTGGGATAGAGTCGTTAGAGCACGCGGTGCTGCCTTCTGGAGAGGTTTGGCTCCATTGATTCGTCAGTTGCAGCCTGCAACGGGCAATGTAGGGTGGGATGTTTTGCGCGAAGCTGTTGGAGCGAAAAGAGCCTCAGTTGGAGTGTCCAGGATACTTCCAGTGCACTGCACGATCATGCAGGATCACTCTTGGGAGCTTGTATGATTTGCTGCCGCTGGCGTTGGTGAGCTCCATGTTGAAACACAGTAGTGCAGCAAACTTGAACTGTCCATGCCCACCTGCGTTTAGCCTGTGAACCGATCTCAAACGCTTCGAGTCTAAGAGTCTAGGTCTGCAGGGAGTCGCGAGGAGTTGTCTTGAGGATGCTGCGTTAACGCATTGGGCTATGCTGGCCTGTCAATGACATGTTGGCCTCCGCTTCGCGTCACTTGCCTATATGCCTAGCGCGGCGAGTTGAAGTGTGAGGGTCGGGGGGGGAAATTCTTGGGGGCCACTCGCCAGTGTTCACGAGGCTCGCTGGTGATCCTGGAGTGCGATGGCTCCGACGGATCGCCACACCAAGTGGATGAGCCCACGTCTCCCATCGTCCACTCCGAGCTCGCCTTGGACTTTGGCTTTGCCACGGGCTTGGCCTGGGACACCGTCGGCAAGCGCGTTGTTCTGGCGGTGCGTAGTTTGGAACCAACTCAAGCCGATCGGCTTTGCCTCTGTGAAACTCTAGGACCCTGGGGAGTGGGGAGGGAACAACACGAGGCGAATGCGCATGACAGCGAAGTGGCATGAGAGCGAAAGTCTCCTAAAGAGCGCCTTCTTGCTCTCATACTCTCAGTCCCCAAGTGCAGTCGAGAGGAGACGAGTCCTTGGTCGAGGCGGTCTCCCTCCCAGCAGGGGCCGAAGCCACCGGCCTGAGCTTCTACGCCGAAGAGAAGCGGAAAGCCTGGGTGGCCGTGTCCTGTACTGATGGCGCGGTGCGCCTCATCGATGCCAGCCCAGAGAGGACTGCCCTTTTGCACGGTACCCCCCTCTGCTGAATGCACAGTGATTCTGACTCTTGCATCTCTTTAACTGCTTGCCGACAACTCAGATGCATGCGCATGCATGCTATACATGCGCACACACACAGAGACTTTGCATAACAGGGTTCAATCGAAAGCAGGTGGATCTGGAATATTGCAAGCAAGGAAGACACTGAAGTAGCAGGCCAGGCATTGTGATGCGAACAAACACGTTAAAGTCAAAAAGGACGGCCTCAGTGGTGCGGACCTCGTACAGCCACGGGGTGGCCGCAACAGCTGTCGCCATCTCGGCGAATGGTGGCCAAGTGGCTTCGGGCAGCTCCAGCGGGCACGTGGTAGTGCAGCCATTCCAGGGTGCCCACGGTCCAACCCCCTTGCCCGGTACCATGGCGGCCGTCAGGGTGTCTTGTAGCATTGTACAGGTAGGGCGCGAAAGCAGAGCTTCAATATGCACTGAGCTATATTGTGGTTATTCGGCAAACACCAAGAAGTGGAAGAAGAGGAGCGGAGTGAAAGAAAGGGAAAAACACACTTGCGCGGTTTTCCCCAAAAGCCTCGAAAAAGAAAGCAGAAGCTGGGGAGTACACCCTGCAAAACTCACTGGGCAGGGTTCCAGCCATGTTCCCGAGCCTGCGTTGAAGGGAAGTGAGCAGGCCGGGCTGGGACCGAGTGAGAGATGCAAATGTATGTAAATGGCAAACACTAGCAAGGGAAACGGTGCTTCTGCAACAGCTCCTCCACTGAATCATGATGTATGAGGGCGAATCGTTGACACTGCGATTTGCCTCTGGCGTGACAGAACTCAGAGACCCGGAAAGTCCTGCCAAGGTGCTGGTACCAGTAGCAATTTGGTCAACCATTACTTCTATGAACTGGGTTCAGAGGCACACAGGCGCACGCCAATTGCTTCCGGGAGGGACCGTGGTGGAAAACCGACTTCCATGGAAGGGCAGGAAGATTCAGGATGCCAGCAAGCAGCCCAAAGCGAGGGGCGACTACTCTATAAACCCGGTAAGCCCAGAAGCCCCATGAGCCCCATAAGCCCTGAAAGATGTTTCAAAACGATTCCTGCGAACCAAGGTCTCCTGGAGTCGGAGTCGCCTATCGAGAGTCTTTGCTACTCACCCTTGCGTCAGGACTGAGTAGGGTTTAGATGGTCTCCTGTTCGGCCGTTAGAATCTTTGCAGCTTCGGTCACTTTTTTTGTTGTGGGAGGAGCTGCTGGCAGCAAGCGACAAGACCGGGAACCTTCAGATCTGGGATTCAGTGGCCCTGAGACACGTCGTGGTCTTAGTTAGACGCGTTTCCCAAGATGGCTATGGCATGCTCCGTCTCTGCAGCGTGTTTAGGTGAGTCGCTTTGCTGGCGCCCACCGTGGACCAGCGCACCCTGTCAAGTTATGTACATCTTGCAACTTCGCAGTTCACTCATGCAGATTCCAGCTCAAAGTCTCAAAAGGTTGGACGTTTCCGTGTGTGTGTGTGTGTGTGTGTGTGTGTGTGTGTGTGTGTGTGTGTGTGTGTGTGTGTGTGTGTGTGTGTGTGTGTGTGTGTGTGTGTGTGTGGGGGTGTGTGTGTGTGTGTGTGTGTGTGTGTGTGTGTGTGTGTGTGTGTGTGTGTGTGTGTGTGTGTGTGTGTGTGTGTGTGTGTGTGTGTGTGTGTGTGTGTGTGTGTGTGTGTGTGTGGGGTGTGTGTGTGTGTGTTGTTGTGTGTGTGTGTGTGTGTCTCTGTGTGTGTGTGTGTGCGTGTGCGTGTGCGTGTGCGTGTGCGTGTGCGTGTGGGTGTGCGTGCGCGTGTGCGTGCGCGTGCGTGCGTGCGTGCGTGCGTGCGTGCGTGCGTGCGTGCGTGCGTGCGTGCGTGCGTGCGTGCGTGCGTGCGAGCATGTGAGTGAGAGTGAGTGTGAGTGAGTGTGAGTGAGTGTGAGTGAGTGTGAGTGAGTGTAAGTGAGTGTGAGTGAGTGTGAGTGTGTGAGTGCGTAAGTGGGTGTGTGTAGGAAGTGGACGTGCCGGTCAAATCTTACCAATCGCTCGATGCCTGAGTGTACTTGCACTACAACATCTAAAGGAGTGTAGGGATGTGTATAGGTTACAATCGCAGTCTTGTAGCACACGTGGGCTTATCGTGGGGTGTGCGCTTAACGATGATGTAGGGGCTCAGTTCTCTCATCCAAGGCGGGGACTGTCCTTCTCAACGCAGAACAGTGACTTGCTCATCTCGGGTGGGGACGATGCGGAATTGACGTTCTGGGATGCGAAGAAGCTTAGCAGAAGATGGTTAGGCCACAGCATCAGAGGGTTTGAAAAGCGCATTCTGGAAGGAGCACGGACTGCATGCACCCATTTCTTGTCTCAGGAACTCTCGACAGATTCAGCAGGCCTCTTGTCTTGGAGTCTCATAGCTCAGGGTGCGCGAATGAGGCATGGCTGCAGCATGCCTTCAGGTTTCTGTCGAAGCTGGCATCAGCTCGCTGTCCTATCATTCAGGCTCCTTGCCTACGGGACTTCTCAATGCTTTCCCAAGCAGTCGCTCGTCAAGAAGAGATGCCAGGTGGCTACTTGCTGGCCACTGGTACTTGTGAAGGCTCCATCCTAATCTTTGACTTGCGCAGCTCGGCCTTGGACTGGAGTGCTGCAGCGTGTGTTTGAAGCAGTAGCAGATAGCGCTTTCCTGCCTGAAAATGTATTCAACCGGCCTTTCGTGAGAGCTGTCGAGTCCGGGTGGGGGCGGGGGTGTCTGAGGTATGCTTGCCCAGGACCCAGAACTGCGAATGAAGTCAGTGTCGACTTGGTCGACTTATTGCTTTTGAGCTGGAGGTGTCCAAAAGGCAGCCCGCAGACCCTGTCCAGCGATACGACGGCCATGAAGGAGCTTCAGATCCGACCTCCCGCTTCCATCCTCCTTTGTATGGCACTCCGAAGAGAGCCTTTGTATTCCCACCCTTCTTCCTGCCAATCCCCTTACTCCAAATACGCCCTTACACCTTGCCCCGACCAACCCATTCTACACTAGCACACCCTACCCTAAACCCTAAGGCCCTAAACCCTATTTTCCTGAAATGCAATTACACTTACTTGAAGGACATTCATTGGTATATATAATAAACCCTAAACCCCGGGATCCCGAAAATTCCATTTCATCATTTCAATTACGTATCAACCTGCCCATAAAGATTAAACAAAAGAGTCATATCCCCCTGCTCGATTCTCTCAAAAATGAAAAGTCCATAATCCAAATTTGATAGTATAGGTTTTCGGGCTACTTGTTATTATATAATATACCCCAATATCATTCCGACCGTATTTTTATTCTATATAATTCATACCCACAATGTCCCCGTGAAAACATTCCCCAACAACAAATACAAAATACACTTCGAATGAAAAGAGAACGATTTCCTAGTTGAAAGCAACCTAGATACCAATCATATATCGCGCAGAATTAATTTCATCAACGAATTCAACTTAAAATTCGGGAGAGAAATATTCGATACGATTCTATATATCTTCGTAGGCAGGGGAGTGTCAAGCAAACCAAGTCATTGAGCCATGTTCTGAGCGGCGCTTCAGGCGGAAATCGCCCCCTTCGGGCAGGACTGCTTTGGTGCGTGACGACATAGAGAAATCAGTTGGCAGTGCAGTTTTAAGATCGGGGGTCCCTTAAAAAAACACTCCGGGGGGGGGGGGGGGGGGGTACCCTAAACAACGTGGATTTCAAGTTGTTTTCCTAATTGGGGGGGGGGGGGGGGGGGAAGGGCATGGCAGGGCATCACATGCCACGAGGCGTGGGCCGTGAAGCTCGTCAAGTTTTGCTGCTTGTGTTGCTTTTGTTTGTGTCTGTTCTATGCGAACATCCGCGAGCAGATGGCAGCACATGTAAGATTAAAGAATCATGGACCCTACAGGTACCGATCACCTGAGAAACGGAAATCATGAGTCACGTCCATGTACGATTCGAAGAATCACGGGCTCTACACGTACCGATCACCTGAGAAACTCTGTCCTCAAGTTTAAGATGGACCGGTATCTGTCAAAGCTTGTATTCCCGTGCTGATCCGTGCTGCCATGGGATGGACTGTTACATACAGATCCTACGAATCGGGGAGACGAGTTTGCCCGTACCCCAGAGCTCTGCTGTCTCGACATGTCTCGGCGGTTTCCTTTTTGATTATGTGCTTGGACTCTACTACCTGCCGAGATCACTTCATCTATCGGGGCGGAGCACTGGTTTCCAAGCTCTTTGACAGCAAGCGGAAGGCCTGGCAATGAAAACCATTTGGGCTGGGTTGAATGTTCCAGAATGTCGGCAGGCAGTCGAATGGGCCGATGAGAACAAAGTGCCGCAGGCGGCAGAGATCGCCGATCCCCGATCCCCGCAATTGCACTCCTTAGGCCCTCGGCCCCGAATCTTCTTGTCCGGCCAGGCGACGGAGGACTTGAAGAGGCTGGCCAGGGAGAGCTGCACGAGCGAGAGGGCGCCGTCCAGCCTCTCTAAATGCAGGTCGAGCCTGCCAACGAGCTCCTGTGCCTGGAGTTCCAAAAGGAAGCCAAGAACGACATGCAGAAAATCATGACAACAAGCGGCGAGCCCGCGTCGCTAGCTGTCTCAGAGCCTGTCACCGATGTGCTGGATGCGCCCAGAACTCCTTCGGACGTGCTCCGTGTCGCTGGCCTGTCTAATTTCAAAGGCAACGCGTGCAATGGAAAGCCAGAGGACATTGCATGCTTAGGGCGCATCGAACAACTTCAGTCTCCATGCCGAGCATTCACTTCCTTCGTGCGCCTGTGCGAGGGCTTCCTTTCCAAGACGCAGGCCAGGCGGGCAGCGGTTGAAAAATGTTGAAATGCTCAGGGTCGAGGCTCCGGATGAGTCCGTCTTTGCGCATTCTTCTGCGTCTCTGCAGGTGGAAGGCGCCTCAGCTGACCTGAACGACGCACAGCTTCTCGAGCATTGGCTGTCCCAGTCAAGACAGCTGATGGAAGCGAGTAGTCACCGAACTAGCCGGTTCTCAACTTGGGCCAAGTTTGGCCAGGAATGTGAGCAGTTGGTGGCTGCTGCATCCGGAAGTCAGCTGATGACTGCAATCAAGGAGTTCCGTCCCCCACACGTGTGCACTGCAGAGGGCGCTCTCAATTATCAGGTGGCGGCTGTCCGGGAGCATTCCATGGCGAAGCCAAAGCTGGGCATCGTCTGTGCTGCGTTCAGAGGCGTGCAGAAAAGCAGGAATTCTGGGGGCACTAGATCCCAGGCAGCAGGAAACATCACCGCTTGCACCCTGAAAGCTGCGCAGGCCAAAAAAATCCATGCGGTGTTGCTGACGCCTGGCAACAAGCCGGAACAATTCATCGGCTCCATTCTCCACCCGGTCATCAACTTGCAAGTGCACTCCGACTGCGTTTTGCTGGAGATCCCGACGAAGCTGTACAAAGTTCAGGAGCTTCGAAGCGCCGTGCAGCTTCAGTTGTCAAAGGAGACACTGGCCCAATGGCTACAGCTGCGACAGTCGGAGGTGCCGAACATCCTGGCCTCATCGAAAGGAGCCGAGGTGGTGCTGAAGCCACAGTTCACTGCCGAGAGCTTCAGCGCCTCCAACAAGGGCAAAGCAAACATCGCCAACGCATTCCAAGTTTGGGTGGAGTGCCTTGACTCGCTACACAGAACATCCCTCGTCACTCAAACCGCCAAACCCACAATGAACGTGCCATGGTATGGTGAGTAGGTCGGTAGGTCGCTGGAGACTTGTTGCCTTGAAGTTACCCAGGTTGCACCAGAAAGTTTGGGGCTCGCAACTCTTGCATTCCGGGAAACTCCAGATCAAGAGCCAACCGGACTGGAGGACGTTCTTGGAGAGAGCCCCAAAGTACCTCATCGGCTTCTTCAAGGGCACAAAGGGCGACTTCGGGAATTGGTGCCTTGAGCAATTCCGCTTCTACTTGCCCTCCAGGGAGGCTCCAAAAAGTGGTGCAAGCACAAGCCAGTGTTTTGTTCCGACCTTGCCAGCTTGTGTCAACCACTCAGTTGATTCAAAAGTTGACCGAGCGTGCTCCTTTTCTGAACTTCCAGCCTCGCCAGCTAAACCACAACAAAGTTGGCCTCGCTGTGCGACAGCTCGGGTGGGAGAAGGTCAGAGCTCCAAGTGGGCACAGGCGCTGGATGGTCCCCGCCTGACGGTCCCGTGCGGAGAAAAACCCATTGTTATTATGAATGGGTTTGTTACAACTCATGTTGCTGTACCTAAGCTTGTATAAACTGATACCATGAAAAATACTTGCACTTTTTCGAATTCTATTAATACTAACATAAGAAACCCAGTTGAAAAGAATAGTCGTTGGGGAATAAATATAGGTCAATGACTAAATATCGCGATGCTGCTTTTTTTTTACTTGCAAGCGAATTTAGAAGAACCTCGTAGAAAACAATGATAATCAACGCAGCGAGTTTACTGCTGTTATACGTGGTGCTCCATAGAATATTGTATTTTGGGCGTTTAAAGAACCACGTAATTCGGTTTCTTGCGTTGTAGAATTTTTGCATGATCTTGAACCGTAACATTACGCTATATAGTATTTGGTTTTTGATTGTTGAGAAGTATTCTTTTCCCTTTTAAAAAGTGTTTGTTACTTGGTTTGTGTTTTTTAATACTCTTGATATGTAGTACTAGTACTCATACCTATTGTGTGTTAAGTTACATTTCTACTAGTTATGCATTGTCGTTTTTATTTGTTTGGATAGACTTAAAAATTTTGTTTTGTTTGTGCAAGGAGAATCCAGCTTTTTCTTGCGTTGTCAATTGATTCAATTGATTCAAAAAACATGTTCCTGATTTATCTAGATTATCAGTTTTTGGTTTAACCAGAATAACGATATGCGTCTGAATTTGTTTGATATTTTTAGTGATAATAAATCTGCACGTAAATACATTTACAGGTAATCTTGAAACATTTTTGAAATATTTGTTGATGATGAACTAATACATTCACACCCCTTTCACTTTCCGTGATTCTGGTGGGGGCACTTAGAACCAAGATTCCTGTAAGCTCGTCGGCGATTCGTCGGGGCTCTTGAGCAACTGCTAGAATTCGCCAGAAGGCAATTAGGTGAACCTTTGTTTTTTTAGAAAGCGTCCCCCTCAGTTTTCAATTTGCGCGCGCAAGCATACATTGATTTGGTCCGAAAATCCCGAAGGCCCAAACCCAAGACTGCTGAAGGTGCCAACCACGGCGGCATGTAAATCTTAGCAGCCCTGCAAACTTTTAACTTGGATGACCGACAAGTTGTTATGGGTTATGCAGTGTCACGGTTAGGGGTTTGAGGTTTAGGGTTTAGGGTTAATGACTTCGTATCGTTTTGTTTTCACAGCTTGGAGACCCGGCACATTGCCTTTGCGGCGGTTCCCACAAACTCTTACCCCAAATCACCGAACATCCAAAGCAAAACGATGAAACCGTATCTAAACACCGGAGTTAAACCCTAAGCCCTAAACCCCCCAACGCCGACGCCCTCAACACTAAAAGCCTTAAACCCTGCGCCGCACACCCAACAGCTCGAAAGAACGGGATGCCAGCTGCAACTCTTTATCACTTGAGGGTCTGACGGTGTAACACCAAACTGGACCAAAGTGCTATTCCATCGTTGTTGGGGTCTGCTGCTGAGAGAACGGTCAAAGACCCCATCAATCTTCCATCTGAAGTCAACTTCAGATTTCAATTTCAGAGGAGCCTTAGTGGCTTTGGCCTTCACTCCGCTCGACTCCCTGGAGGCTCCGGTGAGGCCAAAGGCCGGTGCTGCTCTCGATATGTTGCGGGGGGCTGTTGATCTGAGTTATGGCCCCCCTAAGTTTTTGGTAGCCTACTTATTCTGACTATAGTTATACTCCGGGCCGTCGTATTCTCATTAGCAACACAAAACGGAACATCATTTAGATCAAGGCCAGATAACACGAAACATCAAGAACGTTTGATTCTGAAAAGCGTTCGAGAGGCGATTGCTTCAGGAGCTGCTGGCTGAAATTTTGTTAAAACTTAGCTGCAGCTTCTACAGGCTTTAGGCGGGTTCCCTTGTATCCTTCGCCAGGGAGTTCTCAAATACCGACAGTGCTGCGAAGCTCGGCGGTTGTCTGGTACCAAGCTCCTAGCACAACTCAGCAGCGTTGAAGTCAAGAGGGTCAGAAAACTCACAAAGCACATTGACATCCGTATGCTGGAGCCCGGCTTCACGATCACAAAGTGCTGGCACGAGGATGAAGTGGAGTCGCACGTGGAGGAGTAGCACGTCAAAGCACAGCACGACGCAAGGGAGATAATTTGAAATCATCGTTTGCATCTCTTTGCGGATGTGTGAATCGGAGGATGGTGGTGGTCCAAGCTTCGCCTCCATCGATTCTCTGATGGACAGGTCTGCACCACATCTGCACGCTGTCGCATCAGGATGGTCATGCGCGATATTTAGATTATGCTTTCCTGGTCCCTTGTCACCGGAGGCTTTCGAAGCGGGTTGTCGCAAGCAGCTTACCTCACAAGTTCGAAACGCTTCTTCGTAGCAGCTTCTTAGTACTGCGTGGTATGAAGCATGAGAGAAACTTCAGCATTCAACTGCGCCGATGCAGCTCCAGGCCAAGTCTGCGGACTTTGTGGAGAGGCCGAATCCAAGCGCTGGTTTCGCTCTGCTGTTTGCTACGGCTGCTCGTCGCTGCCGCAGGGGCGCTGCTGGTGAGGCTGCCAACAGCAAGAGGACGCTGTCGAGACAGCAAGCTGTCGGATCATCGCATGTCTCAAGCCACGCTTGCCAGAACATCTGAAAGTGCCATGGGGGGTGTCAGTGTGCAAGCAGCTGGAGACTCAGACTCAGATGTGTTGCACTCTTTGGCATGAGCAAGCCAGAGAAACACTGTGCTGGAAGGGGTGGCTGGGGATGTTCCGCGGTGTTTGTCAGGCCGGCACTGTTCCCCCACTGCCACAGGGCAGTGTGGGCAGTGTGGGCTCTGCGAGGCCTGGTGCTAGGTCTTGAATTTACGTGAATTCGTGAGTCTATGTTCCGATTTGGAGCGGAGGCCGACCGGGCCTACTGTGTCAAGAGAGGTTCCCGCTTTGCAGTTTGAAGGGGCCCCTGCACATCGGGTACCTCCTGTGCCTGATTCAAGGAGGCGCCGCTTGACAGCCGAAGAAGCTCCCAGCAGGCTGCCCACTGCTGGTCTCAAGCCACTTCGAGGGCTTCAATTTAGAGAAAAGTTAGGGGCGGCGCGAATTTTTTTGCCTCTCCTAGACAGAGGTGTCCCGGTACAGCATTGGTAGTCCTGGAGAAGATCCAGTGGCAGCGCGCCCAGAGAACATGCCGGAGCTTGAATTGCGTTATCTGGGAAGACTCTGCCGGGACGTTCCTTCTGGGCTTTTGGGATTTTAAGGCTCCAAGCCCCTGGTGGAAGGGCGCAGAGGCCATGGAATTGCATGTGAGAGAGGCCGGGGGAGTCGTTCTTCGAAGCAATCTTCCGGCAACAGGAGGCAAAGACCACTCCCCCGCGCAGCGTTCCCCACGCGGCCTCGTTCTGAGCCGGACATTCGCACATAATATGTCATCCTGTGTTCGCTGGCGACGACTTGAGGCGCCAGCCGCATCATCATCACCATCACCAGCAGCGCTGGCAGAGGCAGGCGCTGGTCATGCGGTAACACGATGTGAGAAGGTAGCACGCAACGAGAATGAATGTGCCAACCGACCGATGTTTTGAGCAAGAGCTTCCCTAAGAGAATCGCACAAAGTTCGCGTCGAGAGTGCCGAGGCTTTACAGCCTTTACTTGCAGAGCTCAAGAAGGACTTTCGTCAGGAGCTCCAGGAGGTGGCAGCGATTCGCCAAGAGATGTGGAGAAGCTGAGAATACAAGATCTCATTATGTGATAGTACATCTTGTACAATGAGGTTCTAGCTAAATAAATGAAATTCCATGATATTGTCTGATATGATGGCGTATGTATTCTAAGACCGTGAAGAGCCAGGATGGGGTTTGGGGGGGAGGGGGGACTTTGGAGCCAGGCACAGTGCGCCGTCATGGAGCAAAACTTCCGCCTTCACGCAGAGCTCCGGAAGGCGATGTACCGTTGAGCAGAAAGAAATTGCAATGCAATCGGGCAACGTGACGCTACGCACCTGGTGTGTGTGTGCTTTATGGAGTGTACGGGTGTGTACGGGTGTCCTGCGCGGAGGATGTGGATGCACTTCGCGCTGAAGTGCGGCAGCTGAGGGGAGAGATGCTTGCGTGAGAGCAAAAGATGAACTCGGGCAAGAGCAGCATGGTCAGTGCTGCTCCTGATTCTTTCCTTCAAAGCCGAACAATGCCGTGCAACTTTGATCTGCTCAAGTGCCTCTCTTTCGGGGGCATGAAGCTGAAGCCCCCTAGCTTTTCAAGTTTCGGTACTCTTGAAGAAGGACAAGGACATATGCCGCAAAAGGAGCGTAGACCTACCAAAGCTACCCAAGCCGACCCCTATGCCCAATTGAGTAGACCAATGCCCTTTTGCTGCTGTCGGCAGCTACATGCCCGCGGAATGTATGCCGCGTGGGCACCGTTTTTGGAGGGGAACTTTTGTGGGATGGTTTACAGGAATTGATGGAGGCAGGAACCCAACATATTAGTATGGCATTCTGCACACTCTTGAGGTCTCCCCCGTCCTGGCCCCTGCATCTCTACCCGAGCTCGGGATTCCAAAGCCTCCGAAATCTCCAAAGGCCCTGAGAGATCCCTGAAACCCATTCCCATGGAGTCTCTGAAGAAAAATGGAACCTTCAAGTCAGGGCGTGAGCTGTGCAAAGGCCAGCAGCTTTTAAGAGATTTCAACAGTGCCAGGAAGTGAAGACCTGCGCAAGCATGTCAAAGCTCCACGTTGCGTGGCGCTTAGACCTTTGCAGTTTCCGTTTCACTTCGGGGGTTTCGATGTGTTCCGAGTTGTGATGCGTGGTGTTGGGGGAGGGTTGAGTCTGTAGGTTGTCAGATTGGTCGAGAGGCGGGAAGGAGGGAAGGAATGCAAACAAGCACGAAAAAAGCTGCACACAGGAGAAGTACTACCGGATCCTGGCATCCCTGCCGGCACGGCTATTGGAGAAGAGGCTCGGGAGAGAGCCCTCGCCCACACTAGGCTTCCTTGCATCGGCATTATCCGTGCCGCACCTGTCCCCTCCACGGCCTCCCGCACTCCCACGCCTCGCTCCTGTAAGCAGAACAATTTTGTGAGGCGCTGTAACGCTGTAACACTAACAAGCCGCGAGGAGTGAGTGTCCCCTCGCTGAGTTAAGCAAGGACCCAAGATACGATTGGAGCTGTTCCCCAGGCAGCTTAGTACTCCTATGGTATCGGCGCTATCGCGAGGCGGTGGGGGTCGAGGGTAGCACATGTGTGCTATCCTCCGCCCCAGCGTTGGTGCCTAACAAGTGCGCTTGTGCGAGGAGCGATCATGGCAGCGATTGGCCACAGATGTAAGCAGTGAGCAGATCATGGAGGTCCACCATTCCCTTCCTACTTACGCAGCCAGCTTCTCGAAGCGCAGAGTTGCCTTCCTCCTTGTTGTCCTTCGTTCAGCACTCACGGGGTCTGTGACTCACGACTCCAGAAATGTGCGGTATTATGGTAAATGCGTGTACAGCCCGCCGTGTATCCCGCACACGTGCCATCGAGGTGCGTGCTTGCTTCCGTTTCCCGTAAGATCACCCTTGTTTATTGAAATCGCTACATCCAGCACACCCTGTTTTTCCAATTAACAGCAGGTGTCACAGACATTTCTTCGTACCTCAGAATACGTGTAGTCTGAATGGCCGGCCTTGCAAATCACAGCTACCATATGTGCCAACAGGGGGTTCACACTTGTGTGGATAAGCTTGAAGTCTGCTGTGTCCCGCCACTATGAGCCTTGTGCGGGACCTCGGCAGGCTTGTTAGTGAGGCAAGAAAAGCACTGGGGCGGGGCTGCTCAGAAGGTGCCTGCACAGGCCTGCGAGTTGGGCGCACGTCGTGCACGTCGGAGCGCCTTTTGAAGTTCGCCAGGGCCACGAAATCTGAGGGCAAGTTCGGGAGCATGATGTCCAACAGGAGTTCGAGAATACACGTATCAATACTTAGAAGCACCATCGGATCAGATCGATGCGTGCTTCCCGACTGTCTCAATCATAGGAAGGGCCTTGGACCACCCTCCAGTGTCCACAGCCCACACAGACGCGTACCATGAGCTGCAAAATCTCGATCCCGCCCTGGACTCCCTGCGTCTGTAACTTTCGATGTCTTTCTGGCGACCTTCCCTTTACTGCGTTGGAGGCACATGCGACAGAAGCGAGGAGCGGCGTCGAGTTCAGACTTTGTCAACCCATTGCAGGCGCCCTCTCGACATGTTTTCAGATCTGTAGTCGATGGACCCAGAAGCACTGTTCCCTAGACTTGCAGACCCCCGAACTATTGTGCGTCTGCTTCGCGTGGGAGTGCTCCGCTCTAGACTCCTAGGGAAGAAGCAATAAATAAATGTCATGGTTGCCTACCCCTGCAGCTGGAACCTGTTGAGTCAGTCCGTCAACGCCGGCGTCCCGGCGCTCCTAATGACCCTAACCCTAACCATCCGAATGGCCATGATGGCGTGAGTGCTGACGTTCCCCTGGCGATCGAAGATCGTTTGCATGGTTTGCCTCCTTGTGTGCCCTCAATCGGAGAGACCAGATCTCCCAAGCTGTGCTCAAACTAGCTTGCCTCATGTGCGCCAGAAAGCATGGGGCAGCTGGTGATGCTTGTAAGTCTGCTTCTTCCTCTTTCTTCGCAGCTTGAGGGGGTTGGCGCGATTGCCTCGCTGAACTGGGAAGGGGGGAGGCCCAGATGGCGCAGTTGGCAAGCCCGACTGGCGCAGGCTGGTCGAAGATGCAAGTGCTGGGATAGCAGCAGAAGGACGCAGCAGCGGAGGAATTTCAGGCACCAGATCAGTGTGGGCTCCAGAGACGGTGCAACTGCTTTGCACGTGCACCTATTTCTAGCGTTTTGTTGGAGCCAGCTTGTTTGTCCTGGTTGTGGCTTCCTCTAGATTAGAACGTTTGCGGTGACTTCACAGGGCATTTTGGATCATGCGACTCTCAGCGCAACAGAAAATGCAGACAGCTTCTGATACCCAGAGGCAGCTGACTTCAGATTAGTGGGACAGAACGCAATGCAAATGGTCTTAGGCCTGCCACGGCTGCATGGTCGACTGCTCGATTGCCTCCTTCGCAACTGAATTTCTGAAGCCTTCGCAGGCGCTCGTACCGCGCCGAGTGAAACTTGGTGAGACTGTCACGTGGCACATTCGCAGGAAGCTCCAGAGAGAGGCAGGGTTCAAGGTGGATTGTGGCGTTCTTCAAATCGCGCGAACAATGCCTCTCTTTTTCACTTGTCTAGGATCTGTTGGACATGGATGCTCCTCCCGCTAAGTCCAGTCCCCGCTGCGAATACGGGTTGGAAGACTTTCGTGAGTGGCGTGCAATTTACGAACAACAAACAGTCAGGCACTTGGAGCTTGAGCTGTATTTCTCTCGCCTCTCAGACCCGGCAAAGATCTAAACAGATGTGGAACAGTCAATGGCCTTTGCGGCTCGGCCCTTTGGGCTGTCGCTGTGTCATGCCTCTTCTCTGATACGGGAGGCACTAACCGGCACCAGTAGGCAGCAGGCACTAGCACACACTAGGATCGAAGTGACGACATCATGACGAGCCTATGATGCCAAAGGGCCACAGGGCCCCTTAGGGGGTAGGGTTGGGTGGGACCCTGCCGTTTTAGGTTCCAGATGTGCCCGCAAAGCCGTTGTTCATGAGTCTAGACTATAAGAAGACATAACATGCCTAGGTAGGCAGAGGTTGAGCTTGTGAGTGGTACAGAAGATCTCTAGACAGCCTTTCACAGCTAGCACGTCTTCGGCTGCCGGGCCATTATCAGCTTGTTGCAAGTGGAACTGAGAAGGGAAGGTGTGATCAAGGTGTGACGAAACGGGCGCTGCTCCGCTGATGTGCAAGCAAGCTGAGCTGCGCCGAGAGCAGCCCGGGGAGCTGGCCGAACAACTGCGTGTCGATGTGCCGCTCACAGTTGCGCACCTTTGCGAGAGGAGTGCCTTGCGCGAGCTGTGCGAGCTCTTGTGACCAGCGGGCAGAGACAGCCCACGGACATCTCGCAGCGGGGATGAAGAGCTCAGTGACCACAGCACACACGCAGCATGGCTGGCATAGCAGCTAAAGTTTTGCCCTTGCTTTTGCTGCGGCTCTGCCAGCCTGGCTTCTTTGAGCTGGGAGGGGTGTAACTTGGACTCAGACCTCTCAGACCCGTGACGGAGGGTTGCGTCGCAACCTTTTGAACTGAACGAAGCCTACGCGGTGTGCTGCTTGGATACAATACGTTTGGTCCGTTAAGGTGTTTGCCAGGGGCCGCCAATCCGCAGGGCCAGCTACGATACGCGCAGATCGAGTGCCACCAGCAGACCTGGCAATTGAGCATGCTCGTGCTGAGTGGCTTCTTTGTGGTTCTTCTTCTCTGACCTCTTTTCGAACTTGAAGTTGCAATGGGAATCGCAATCGAAGTTGAAACTGCGCTTGCTGGTGGGAAGCAGGACCACACAGCATGCCGGTGTTGTGGCGCGCAGCACTCAGCCCAAGCTGTTGACCCTTGCACTCACCGGATCGGCACTGTGCCTGTGCCGTGAGTGAGCTCATGGAAAAAGAGTGTGGACGATGATGATGCGTGTAGCTGCCTTCGGCGACCCCTGCGTTTCGAATCCGGAGGAGACACCGCAATGTGATCCGGAGGAGACTGCAATGTGATCCTGGCAACTTGCCCATACGCTAGCAAGTTTGTTGGGTTTCACACCTGAGCGGAGTCTCTGTATCATAAAGAAATTGCAGCCACAGGCTATCGGCGGATGGGCCATAAGCAAGATTTGACACACACGGCAGCTGCCCTACCAAAGAGATGCTGACCCCACCGGCAGTATAGTGGGACACTGTTGACCCGCTTCTGCCCGCTCACCCATCACCACAAGCGCGCTGTTCACTCTCATCCTCACAGTCCCCAAGGCCTTTGGCTAGTTTGCGGCAAGCACTTCGAAGCAGCAGGTCACCTGCTGGCCAGCTGGAACAGAAGTGACGAAACGGGCGCTGCTCCGCTGATGTGCAAGCAAGCTGAGCTGCGCCGAGAGCAGCCCGGGGAGCTGGCCGAACAACTGCGTGTCGATGTGCCGCTCACAGTTGCGCACCTTTGCGAGAGGAGTGCCTT